GATGTGCGTCTCTGTCAGATAAGCGATGTCCTTTATGCAGTGACAGGCCTGATACCAATTCGCCATTCAACAGGCAATGATTCCTGCTCGCAAAGGAAATCGCAGTTTGAGACCGGGGTGCTATGTTCATTATGTATAGGTACCTCTCAAAGATCAAATCCTTAGAACTGTGCGCCATCTTTACGCGTATATGTCAGGTGGAACCTTTTCACCACGAGTACAGGAGGCAGCTTTTCTGTTTTTGGCATCTAAAACAGTCGACAGGTGTAATGAAATGTCAAGTTCATTCAGTGGCAACATTCGCACGAGGAAAAGGTGCCTTTGTTCCTCTGCCAGGGGTTGACTACCTTGTTATTGGCACTCCTTTGAACGGCCCAGGTTGTAGTTCTCAAAGGTCATCTGTGTGAGGTGCGCGTCGGCGATGGGGTTTCCTTTATTGACAATAACAAGATCAGACTCATCATCAGACAAGGCGGGATAAGGGGGGCAACCACCTTTACAGTCGACTATCCGTTTGCTTTCACTGTCACAGCGATCGTATCTCAACCATGCTTAGCACAAGTTTATCCTAGAGGGGGCTGTCCACACTACGATGTTATGGCTCGAGGACATGCATCTTCATCGAACTAGCTGAAACCGACATGTTGAACTGCGTCATTTCCCCCGTTATCCTCTGTAAGGAATCAAAAGAGTGCAAGGCATCAAAGAAGTCAGGTGCCCTAAAAGGAATACACAATTTGTCAGACAGCCGGATTATCTCCCGGAATCAGAGGACTATAAATAAAAACATAAGACCGATACTAAAGGCTTTCATGAGCACAGGCTCAGAGTTAAGAGTACGTCGCAGACACGGTGAGTTTGGTGATTCTATTTCTCAATCTGTAACCTCTCCGGAGGTCAAAAGATAAATCCAGTATGATTTGAGCTGTACAAGCAAATAAGCCCAGTCGCTATGAGGCCTTTGACAACCATTGCAGACACATTTCCCCTGGAAAGCTCATTGTCAGCTTGTCCCACACACAAGTATCGGCTTCCAAATTCTTCAGGACGTAGGGTAAGACCAGATCACGGGATGGTCTAGCCCCAATCTCGCTGAAAGGTATGGATACACTGAGACATAGAACAGCTACACTGACCGCAAGCCGTTGAACCAGTCAGGTTAGACTGTTAACCACCCTGGCCCACTGCCCCATTCCTCGAACAGCTAGAGTTGCAGCTCTCCCGTCTCCCTGAATCTCATATCCTCATGCCGCAGCCTTGAGCGGTTATTGGTCCATTTGATTCATGTAGAGCGATCACTGCGGATATGCGACATTTTTGTACGGTGGATTCCAGACGATGTCTCGGGTGCCATCTTCGAGCGACACAGTCAAGATCATATGAGCCAGTTATGTCGTCCCGATAGAAACACGAGCGATGGAAGTGTCCTAGTAATGTATTACAGCGTCGCAGGATTCCTCTGCCAAGATTGTTGGATAGTACAAGCAACACGCTGGCGACTTGGCACCAGGTAATACGCTAGCCACCTTGCGTGGACCAACAGAGACCGACAGCTTCAAGTTGTACCGACCGGGTATATCGCAGCGCATGGTTGCATATCCGCCCTGAGAGCAACACGGACACGGGCGCCGACGATTGCTCTGCAAATACACATTACATTTCACAACATCTGGAAGCCTAAGCCGCGATCCTGAAGACAAACCTACATGTTGTAGGGCACTAAATAAAGAAACGCAGCCCGTGGGGATAGCAAACTGGAGCCTAAAGTTTGTTCTGATGCGGTTGCTGCGGCGAGAGTTCTTGGATCACGTTGAAACCCAATCTATCCGATGCTCTACTGTGTAACTGAGCCACATAGGCCTCTCACGACAGGCCGCGCGGAGTGGCAGGTCCAAGAAGCAGTTCTACGGTTCATGTCAAACAAGACACGCACGTCATTGGCTTTCCGAGCGGTCTAGCTTTCTGGCCTCGGCGAATCCTTCAAATCGTAGGGCTGGCTGTTGGATAACCAGCGGAAATCCACCGAAGGGTAACAGCCACCGAGGCAGTGGTCATATTTTTGGTAATTTTATACATTTGTTGAAGCGGATAAAGCCGGTAAAACCTGACATAATCTGCACCGCCATTCCTGCACAATGTTCAGCACCGCCACTTCGCCACCATAGCCGAGGAAAAACTCCCAAGACCAAAAGTCCCGACAGGGCTCATCCCCAACAATCCGTCCAAGTCGCAGGAATCCCGTCAAAATCACCCAATTAGCTCTCTAGGGGAAATGAAACCAACGTAGCCAAGACCACCAACGTCATCCTTTACGGCAATCAGGACTGGATCGCATTACCCACCACACAGACTGGACAAATGCCAAGTCCACAAAAACCGGGACTGGCGGACGATCGTCCTCCCATTCGGCGGCAGCCTAGGGCAGTGGTCCTCGGGTGAGACTGGTTTTTGAGCGAAATAGGGGCTATTCATAGAAATATGACAAAGTCTGCTGTGGGTCAGGACAGGGGATTTGTGGCCTTGGCAATGCAACTCGCGGCCTCGGGCCAGACGAAGGACAGGGTACTCTATGTGCTAAAGTGTGCTAGAGCGTCCTAGACAACTCGTCGTCCTGGATAGTAGTCTAAAGTGACGTCTGTCATGACCTCATAGTACAATTTGGCGAGAGTGAAGGTCAAGAGACACTACAACCTTCCGACTAGAGCATCACCAGATGGAGGGAACGATGCCTCTTTCAATTCCACATGGAAACCTCCGGAAAACGGCTGTGGAGCCGTAGACCCGAGCATACTTTACCATGAAACGTAAGTCGGGCGACGAAATCCGCGGTGATTCGTGGCTGTGGTCTCCATCACAATGCATCGCCACTGGAGCCATAACTGCGACTGCTATGCCGATCCAATTCTATCATCAACACCGGGCAGAGAAGCGAATATTTAAGGAGCCTGGTCCTCTCCAGATCTACGGAAAATTTATCTCGATCATCAATCAACAAGAAACAATCTAATCTGTGGATTATCACTCCCACACTTCTACTTCCACTGACACTCTCCACATCTCTATAAACAAACCCACATACAAATCCTTCAAAATGCAGTTGACTCTTCTCACCACCCTGCTCGTTGCCAGCTCCGCCCTGGCCGCTCCCCAGATCGACAACATCATCTCCGATGTTGCTGGAGCTGCCGAGACCGCTGTGAACGGCGGCCAGAGCATCGCCTCTGACATCGCCAGTGCCGCAACCTCCATCGCTTCCGCCGTTGAGACCGGTGTCCCCGGCGCTGCCTCTTCCATCACCTCGGCCGCGGGCGCCGCCGCCTCCAGCGCAGAGAACTGGGGCTCCTCCGTCGCCTCCGATGCCGAGGGCAGGGCTTCCTCCATCGCATCCGAGGCCAGCTCCAGGCTGAGCGACCTGACCACCTTGACCGGCACCAACGGTCAACCCACCTCCACGGCCACCGTCTCTACTACCTCCGCCAGCGGAACCGAGACCACCACCTCTACCAGCTCCTCCACCACCGGTACTTCTTCTTCTTCCTCTTCCTCTTCCTCCTCCTCCTCGGCCGGCAGTGCCTCGTCCACCACCAGCGACGACGCCGGTGCCATGCCCACTCCCTTCAGCTTCGGTGCCGGTATCGCCGGTGTCGCCGGTGTCCTGGGCGTCATGGCTGCTCTGTAAACGACCAATGAAAAATCCTGCAACCATCGCTGCTTTCGGTACGAAATACTATGTTACATTATACCATGATTTAAGCGGAAAATATCCTTCGGTTACGACAACTTAATGGGAATCATGGCGTTTTTACTGCGTCTTCATGTACATGGATATACATTTTGAGCTCTGATATACATATATACAGTTATGATATGGTTATATTTCTAGTAATAAACTTTTTACTAGCAAATTTCTTTTCTTCTTTTGTAGCTGTCGCACTGGGATATAACATCTGAAACACTGAATAAGAGAAGTGATTGATGGAAAGTATACAACATATTAGAGTTAAAGCTTACACAAGGAAATAATAAAACCTCATGTATGTGGCAGGATTGTTCTTGGTTCATGCTGCATTGTTGGAATCTCCAATCTTTGCTAGCGTGGCTGAATATTAACTGTAATTCAACCAATTCTTTGTATTTCTGATCTGAAATCATGAAACAGTAGCTGTAACAGAACTTATTAAGACTTAGCGCTATTTGTGAAATATACAGTGTAGTTATTTCCCGAATTGATGCTGTACTCTCCTGGTGACGATTCTAAATTTTCAAATTACTAGGAATTGCGAAAGTTAGAAATATTCAAAATAATGCCTCTTAGAATTTCTACTCCAGAGATATTTTTGCCGCCTTTGGGAAAAGGCACCAATAATTGAAGACAATCTTGTATAATCTCAATTGTGCAAGGGGTTTATTAGCTCCATTATTTGTTGTTATTCTTCGTGGCTCGGGAATATATATTTAAACAGTAGCACGGAAAGAATGAGGACACAGACAAAAAGAAACATAGACGCAAAGCGAGTCACTGAAATCTGCAACAATTAAGTGAACCGAATTTCCTGCAACATAGTATCACAGTTACACGCAAACGTAGGACTTTAATAGCATCTAGAAAGAGTTCCTGTCAATCCTGAGGTCCATCATGGAGTTCGCAATGGCCCCAGCCGTGTGGATCGGCGAACACCAACCTTTCCACGGTACAAGCTCTGCGAGCTCCACTTTATTGGGAACTACTGCCCCAGCAGATGGCATGAGAGACTCGCAGAACATTTTCGCATTTTGAGTACGAATTGTTTATCTCCATAGTATGTATGGTAATCCAGACGACCTGCTGATTATTATGACAGTGCCCCCCTAGTTTATATAAATCACAAGGATAGATGTGGAATCGATATGAAAATTGGATTATGCTATATCGTAACTCATAACGGCAGGAGAGGAGAATCTAAACTATAGACAGGTAGTCTAGGTATGGTCTATATCTAGAAAACAGAAAAGAAATCAAACTAAACAGGCACACCGCCGGTGCCGAAGAGCTCCAGCTTGATGCGATCCTCGCTGACACCCGCAGCGGCCAACGCAGCACGCGTGGAGGTCATGAAACGGTCCGGGCCGCAGACATAGTATTCCGTCTTGGGATCGTCGAGGAACAGATCCTTGGACTTGTCCAGCTTGGAAATATCAACACGGCCCTGGTGGTCGTAATCCTCGCCCTGCTTCTCCTCGGCAGCGGGGTGGGTTTCGAAGAATGTCGCGTGCAGGTCCTGGTACTTCTCTGATAGGGAGTCGATGTCCTTCTTAAAGGCACGAGCAGCCGCAGAGCGAGCACCGTGGATGAAGTGAATCTTGCGCTGGGGAGCATCCGGGGGGTTCGAGGTGAGGGTCTTGAGGATGGAGGTCAGCGGGGTGAGACCCACACCGGCGGCGATGAGAACGATGGGGTTGGGGCTCTCGGCATCCGAGAGGTAGAAGTCACCGAAGGGGTGGGAGACCTTGACGACGTCGCCTCGTTGATCTTGGCGTGGAGGATGTTGGACACGTATCCGGGTTGGGAGGGGGCGTTGGGGTCAGCGGTGTTGAGACCTGCCTCCCTCTTGACACTGATCCGGTAGTAGTCCGACCGCGGAGCGTCACTCAGAGAGTATTGGCGGCATTGGGGGAACTTGAGCGAGTCCACGAAGACCTGCACGGAGATATACTGGCCGGGGCGGAACTTGGGGAGGGGCTTGCCATCGACGGGCTCGAGGTAGAATGAGGTGATCTCCGAGGACTCGGGGACCTTCTTTGCGATACGGAAGTCGCGGAATTCCGTCCAGCCGTCGGCCTGCTTGTACAATTCGGCCTCGCGACCGATCATCAGGTCGGCAAGTTGCCAGTACGCGGTGGCCCAGGCATCGAGGATCTCGGGGGTCAGCGCATCGCCGAGGACCTGGCCCATGGCCTCCAACAGGAACTTGCCCACGATTTGGTATTGGTCGGGTTGGATATACAGCGAGGCATGCTTGTTGCAGATCAGTTCGACGGCGGGGCCCAGGGCTCCTAGGTCATCGATATGCGACGCGTAGGCAAAGAGGGCGCCAGCCAGGGCGCGGGGCTGATGACCGTTCGTCTTGTTGGCGTTGTTGAAGACGGCGTTCAACTCAGGGTGGGCGGTCAGCATGTTGCTGTAGAACACGGTGGTAATGTTGGTGCCATGTTGCTGGAGAACCGGCACGGTGGCCTTGATGAGCTGGATTTGTTCGGGGGAGAGCGGCATGGTGAAGGGGATTAGGTCTGCAGGATGGATCAAACAGATGAGGGGGTGGGATGTGACGTTCAGTAACTTAGGGCTACTCGGCCATGGTATTTATACCATTCATGAGCCCATGCCCCTGGGCAACGTGTCGCCAGTTCTCGTGCCGGTATTCTTTTTTAGGTTAATTCCTTTGGTCCCTGGTCATCGGCCGAAGGTGAACACCGGGACTGTGGATATTTGGTAAAATTTTCTCTGGGAGGCCGAATATGGCCTCTATCTCCGCGGTCCATCACATCTCCGCGGGGTATGGAAGACTGCAAAAGTTTGGAAAAAATGCAGAAGAATGTTTGCTTCAGGGCAATCAGAGCCAAGAGAATGATAAGCCACTAAGCCTGATTGGTCGATGCCCGCTTCCCTCATATCAGGTTTATCAACCCCCAATGACCAGCAGGGAAGACGCTACAGGGTGTGAACTCTCTGCAGGATGCCCCGTACGTGGTCGTTCTTGTTCTCCGCACTGATTTCTGTTGGAACTACTCCATACTCTCTGGTGATGTGGAAGCGAACTGAGGCTATGGTTTTCGTAATGCTATCAGCCCATTCGTCGGGAGTTCTCGGAAAACCCCGTGTGCGCTGAATTCTCGGCGTTTGCGAGAGAGTGGGAAGACTTGTCGACAGTGGCACCATCCACTTACGACGGGGCAAGCAGTGGCCGAGCCGGAGCAAAAAGGAAAAAGAGTCAGACAAATGGATCCTGCTTGTCCTATGCCTCACCGTAAGACTATACTCAGAGTAGACATCGGAGACGAGGAGAACGAGTGGAAGTCATGAGATCATAGGGCTTCGGGTGCGCAACCCCATTTTTTTGATGTTCTCCGGTGGGACCCTTTCAGCACAACAGCTTGGCATATCATTGATCGACACCGTCCTCCTCTTGCTTGATCATAGAACTATGCTTCAATCTACATGGGACACTGGAACTAAGGTAAAAATATGCAGGGTTCTCCCTTGTATCTAGTGAAGAATGAATGATTGGCAGCAACTTCATCTGCGTCGTCTGCATTTGACGTTCTATCTGTGCACTACGCACTCACCGCCGAGAGGTCTAGACTTTGGCCACTCCGGCCAGATCCCTAGGTCAATGGGCGCAGGAAGGACTTTCTGCCACAGAGCTCCTGATGAGGCAGGATCTCTGGACTATAACCATGGAAATGTCTCTTGCGACTGGCCTTCCATCACTGCCATGATCCCATCACTGGGACACCTGGCCATATGCGGTCATTTCCGGACGGACAGAGTTCAGTTACAACAAAGACTCAGCTGAAGTCATGACGTTCGACCTCGTAATCCGATATGAGTATAAAAACGAGCTCTCTTAGCAGAAAGTGGTGAGTGAAGGAGCCAGAGATCCACGAAAAGCTTCTGGAGCGAGCTGGTCAGTCGCAAGAATCGTGCTGTCTTTAGTCCCCAAGTAGTAAATTCGAGGCTACCTACATAGCAAGATGAGGTTTCTAAAACGGGGAGCTAGCGCTGAGCGCGCTGAGCACCCTAGCTCAGCCCCAGTGTACAGCTCGACTCGGAAACAGCTCCCCATGTTGCATCTGAAAGATACCGTGCGGAACAATGTCATTGCCGTTGTGGGAGAATTTGTCGGGACCTTCCTGTTCTTGTTCTTTTCCTTCGCGGGCACTCAGGTGTCCAATACGCCCAAGCCGGTGGACGGTGCTCCGCCGAATACCTCAAACTTGCTCTATTCTTCCTTGTCATTCGGATTTTCCTTGATGGTCAACGTCTGGGCCTTTTACCGTGTGACGGGCGGTCTCTTCAATCCAGCGGTAATGTTGCACGTGTGACGTCTGCGGTGTCAAGGCTAACAACGGCAGGTCACCCTGGCCCTATGCCTCGTGGGCGGCCTGTCACCCCTCCGTGGGGTCCTAGTCTTCGCGGCTCAGATTGTGGGCGGCATTGCGTCGGCAGGTGTGGTCAGCGCCCTGTTTCCAGGCGACTTGAACGTTGGAACCCGTCTGGGAGGAGGCGCCTCCATCTCGCAAGGGCTGTTTATTGAGATGTTCCTCACCGCGCAACTTGTCTTTGTGATCATCATGTTGGCGGTGGTGAAACACAAGTCCACCTTTCTGGCTCCGGTCGGAATTGGTCTAGTCTTCTTCGTCACGGAAATGATTGGTGAGTCCATCCTCTGCAGCTGTCATCGCACCGGTTGTCTCACGCACATCAATATAGGCGACTACTATACCGGCGGCTCCCTCAATCCCGCGCGCTCTCTCGGCCCGGACGTCATCAACCGCAGCTTCCCAGGCTATCATTGGATCTACTGGGTTGGCCCATTGCTGGGTTCCTTATTGGCATGTGGCTTCTTCGGTCTCTTGAAGATGATGGAATACCAGACTGCCAATCCCGGACAGGACTATAACGAGTGGGAAGCCAAGAACGGCCCCGGATCCTTGGACGTGCCGGCGAACCGACCGTCGGTCCAATTCTCTGACACGTCCACATTAAACCACGGGCATTCGCCAACGAATGGCCATGGCGCGCAACCGCAACCCGTCAACGGTGCAGAGCAGGTTTGATCGCCGTCTGCTAGCCTCGTTGGAATTAGACACGCCACAAATCTTGTCATTGGACTGCTCGGCGCCTTTAATGCTGATTAGTTTCGATAGTCTACCTAGCTATCTCCAATTTGGGAGACCGTAAGGGCGACACAGGAACCTGTAGTCCACTCTAATGGTTAATATATGTAGTTACATTGCAAGCAAGGATTAATGATTGTTCGGAGGGAGAGTCTTGGGTGGAGGGTTACATATGAGTTTCTTGGTGGTTGGGAAGGCGCTGCGTGCATCACGTTGGTCGCTTAACCCTTTTGGTCGATAGTGTGTTGCATTAGTCCCAAATCAGATCAACTCCGTTCTCGCAGCTTAAAAGGAAATTGTTTCCAGCGTCGAATTTCAGCCCTGGGCGAAGGAGCTCCATAGCGGCTAGTACTCTCTTGAGTGGTAGTTGACAGCACGAGAGATTTTATTTCTCAACGTTGCATGACATGGACTGTAGAGTATGTGTCAATGCCCTTTTATTCGCCTAGCCCACGTCCCTGTGGACCAAAAGCATGCAGGTATCCCTGTTCGTTAAACAGTCGACGTAAGGAGTCTTTAATCGCGTCACAAAGGCATTGTGGGTAGGATCAGTGCGAAATTGCGATCAGAATGATCAATAGTCTTAGGTTAATTACTGGTGCAGTAGTGGCTGAACTCAGCTGGACTAAAAGGGGAAAACTGGAGCCCTAACTCCCCTTTGCCATTGCGAAGGATCGCCACATGAGTTTTCTTCAGGGACGTCAGGACGATCAAAGCACGATATGTTCCTAAGATAAAGATAGCTATAACCGACGAACGACGGCGCAGGAGGAATCAAGGTCATCGTTTTAATATTCCTCAGTCGTCCTGCACTGAATCGAGACTCATGGGATCGACAGACCCACGTCTGAGTGCCAGGTGGAGCATCGCCGAACTTATTGGCCACCCGTCGCAACACCATATGTTCATTTCCTGCAAGGTTTGGCTGCCTGTCCGTCATGGAAAAAAATCGAGAGAATTTGAGTTCCATGGCTATCACAGCGTTGAATCAGGGGCGTGTTTCCCAAGCCAACAGAATGTCGCAGAGGTGTTCATCCCTACCCCATTGGGGATATCCGACTCTTTCTCCACTGTGTTGCAACATTCCCAACGCCGATAGGGGAATAGTTCCCAGAACTGGTGCATCTTAAACTTTGGGCTATCCACGAATCCACTCCGATAGTCTACGATCCGTTTCCTTGGTCCCCTCAAGCATATTCCTTAAGACCCCACGCCTTCCGCAGGTGGGTGTTCGACTCATTCAACAAGCAAACGGCGATATCAGTACCCATAGCTCTCCCTGTTGGACACCACACACACGGTCAAGGGAGCATGGCCAAGATGGAATCGCAAGCAGCCGTCCAGGCTCATCCCCGCGCCGATGAGCCCGGCCTGGCGGACCCCGGTGATATGGAGTTACTGGGTAGGTTCGTCCCTCTCTGCTGCCACCTGATGGTGACAGGGCGTCAAAAATGGCCCAGTATCGCTAACGTGCGCAGCGAAAATGGGTTACAAGCAGGAACTGCGCCGACAGTATTCGACCGTGCAGATTTTCGCCGTCGCGTTTAGTATCATGGGTCTGGTGCCGTCCATCGCCTCGACACTCGCGTTTTCGTTGCCCGCCGGGCCGGCGGGTATGGTTTGGGTGTGTATCTCTTTTGAGTTGCATTATTGTCGCATGCAGGTCAGATGCTAATAGTGTAGGGTTGGTTTATCGCGAGTATTTTCATTTTCACCGTCGGTCTTGCTATGGTAATCGCTACCCCGGATGCGACACCCCGATCGCGACAGAAACTAACGGTCGCAGGCCGATATGGCGTCCGCGATGCCCACTGCCGGAGGTCTCTATTGGTGGACGCACTACTTCGCCGGTGATAAGTACAAGAAGGTGTTGAGCTTCCTGGTTGGATACAGCAATACGATGGGGTTGATTGGAGGAATGTGCTCGGTAGATTGTAAGAGGACTATTTCCCTCGGTGGTCCACGGCGCATGCTAATGAACAGACACGCTCTCTCTGATGCTGCTGGCTTGTGTCTCTATCACTCGCGACGGAAACTGGTCGGCCTCGAACGGCACGATCTACGGCGTCTATGTCGGACTCATCATCATCCATGCCCTCTGCGGTATCTATACTGGAAAAATTATGCCCAAGATCCAAACCTTCTGTATCTTTATCAACGTCGCCATCATCGTCGCGACCGTTATCGCTCTTCCTGTTGGAAAGGTCACTCGTGGCGAAAAGCTCAACTCGGGGTCGTTTGTCTATGGACATGTCGATAATCTCACCACCTGGCCCACCGGGTGGGCCTTTGTCCTCGCCTTCTTGGCCCCTATCTGGTCCATTGGCTTCTTTGATTCTTGCGTGCATATGAGCGAGGAGGCGCTCCACGCCGCGAAGGCTGTACCGCTGGGCATTATTTGGTCGGCTGGTTGTGCATGCGTGTTGGGTTTCCTCGTCCTGTCGATCATCGCAGCCTGCATGAACCCAGACGTGAGCGCGACAATGAGCTCGGTGTATGGCCAACCTATGGCGCAGGTAGGGCTCCTTCCTATGATCCCCGTCGGACCCGGTAACCATGTGCTAAATGCGACCAACAGATCTACTTCGATGCGCTGGGCAAGCGAGGAGCGCTTGGCTTCATGGGCGTGCTGATCGTCATCCAATTCCTGATCGGTCTCAGTCTGGTATGCCCCCTCAAGACCCAAGATCTCCGTCGACCATGGAACTAATAGGTCAAACCACAGATCGTCGCCGCCTCCCGCCAAGTCTGGGCCTTCTCCCGTGACGGCGCTCTGCCCTTCTCTGGCTACTTCCGCCATGTCAGCAAGCGCGTCCGCTACCAGCCTGTCCGTGCCATCTGCGGCCTGGTCATCGTCTGCATCATCTTCGGCCTGCTGTGCCTGATCAACTCCGTCGCCGCGAATGCGCTGTTCTCCTTGTTCGTTGCCTCCAATTACGTCGCATGGGGCACGCCCATCCTCTGCCGCTTGATCTGGGGCCAGACGCGCTTCCGACCGGGCGAATTTTACACTGGAATTCTGAGTCGTCCTCTGGCAACGATTGCCGTCGTGTGGTTGTTGTTCGGCTTGATCCTGTCCATGTTCCCCAGCATGGGGCCGAATCCCAGTGGTATGTTTCCCTCTTTCTCACCTCGCCCATATCTGTGTCTTCTTCGCGGATGCTGACGGGATATTTAGCCCAGGATATGAACTACACAATCGTCATCAATGGCTTTGTGTGGATCGCCGCGATGACGTACTACGTTCTTTTCGCGAGGAAATGGTACACCGGCCCCAAGATGACTATCGATGCGCCAGCGAGTGCAACGGACTCCGCGTCGGGGTATGAAGCAAGAGAGGAAGAAAAGTCGGCTTAGAGTTGCAGTACTTGATTAATGCTTATATCCCTTACAGTTCCAGTTCTTACAGCGAGACTTGACTTTTGTACACTTCATTCAGAATCTGATATTATATCTGCTTCTCTCCCCCAGTCATTAGACATTATATGCGATAATCATACCCTCTGCGCGTCTGATATGCGGTATGGGCATATGTTTAAATCATACCAATATATAGACATCCCATTCATAATACATAACATTGGGACCATCTGTGCCAGCTGTCCAAGCGCCGCGATCGTCAGTGTAATTGACAACGGAACATACTCTAATTCATTGCGAGAAGACCGTTACTATAGAGATTAAAATGAACGCAAACTCCAAAAATAACCGGTCATGATATATATATATATCTAATTTCTATCTAACAAACATCATAAGTCTAATAATCATTACCCGTCGAGCCATAAAGATGTTCCCCACGCTCAAGGACCTCAATCTCATCCCCAACAGCGACGTATAACCCCTTCTCTTGCTCCTCAGCCATCTGCAAGGCCCGATCCTCAGGCACACAATGCATACCTAGATACCCAAGAGCCGACTTATTCCCATCTTCGACCGTACGGTACCTAACCAAAGTGGCACTCGGCTGCGGTTTACCTCTTTTCTTCTCTGGAGGCGGGTTATCCGCGCTCGGCACCCCAGTCTCCGGATTCACATTAGGCATTGTACACCTCGACGTCCGACACACAACCGACACCGTCGGGGCTACAGCAGCTCGTGGTTCTGCGTCACTACCCTTCGGCAAAATACGGTATCGCTTCCAGCTCTCCTCGTCGAAGGCCGGTGCACCCGTGATCCAGATATTGGCGCGGAAACGAAGGGCATTGAGGGGTTGGTTTTCCGTTGGCAGCAGTGCCGACACAGCGTGGACGGACGAAAGGCTGTTGATATTGATGGGTTGCTGGTCTGTATAGCCGTGTACAGAGGGTGTGCCGATGTGTTCGAGTGGAGCCAGGTTTCGATCTGTACGCACAAGGGTATCGGGTGTACATCTTAGCAGGGTAAGGCTCTGATCGTTTGTGATCCGCAGATACTTTTTCAATTTCGGTAACGCTTTCGCGACCGACGGAATTGTTCCCATGTCCAGACCCTTCGCGTCACGCGAGTGGATGCCGAATGTTTTGAATTGGATTTTGTATTCGTTCAGCATGGCGGGCGTGGGTTGGAGAGGCACGATGAACCGAACTTCTGGCTTTGCGGAGCGGTTCCCTGTATGAAAGAAGCTCCTTAGATCATCGAACCGGCCAGGCCCATCAGGGTCAGGGAATGACACCACGATACATCCACCAGCTTGGACAAGCGGGTCATGCTGGTTGCTCTCCTTGTGCGGAAGCCATAATTCCGTCTTGATCTGAGACATGGCTGGCTTGGTACGCTGGCAGATAAATCGCCATTTCGTTTCCATGGCAGGATTGTTCTTGCCCAGCTCCGTGGCGAAAGCGAAGCATCTGTCGTACATAAATCCGGTCTTGGTCAGTAAAGCCCGGCTCAGCTCGATCCGGCCGCACGACTTGATGGGGTGAATGCAGATCGCCTTGATGCGGACCGATCCCTCGGGCGTGGTTCCTTCTGGTGCGTCGTATTTGGATTCATACTGATCTGCCATGTTGCTGGTCGATAGGCCGATTCTTTGCAAATGTTTGAGCTTCTTCCGCGTTGTCGATGTGTTGCCATTTTGGATGACGAGGATGGAGACAAGGCTCAGCAGGAGCATGACATTGATAACGCCATAGGTCACTGTGGAGGTCTTCAGCGTGTCCTGAAGACCTTGGAGAATATCTCGGAACATTTTCCCCGGGTCGTCCTGGTTTCGAGGGTTTGTGGATGGTGTGGTGAATTGCTCGTTTGGTGAGAAGTCGGTAAGGTGTTCTATATTGCTAACATATCGACCACTTCTCGAATTCCCCAGGATGTTGTAAATCCCATTCTATCCCGTATCGAGAACCGAGAATTTATTCTAGCGAACTGACGTTATTAATACTGTTGCACTGCAGATAAGGCGCCAAACACGAGTTCCATTTGAGGAAGTTTGACGGAGTGGATCCACCAGATCCACTGGAATGCAGAATCATCGACCCTGACTGGATGGATCGGTTGGGCGCAAGGAAGATTTCGAATTGGGTTACTCTCCAGCTGGGGTCGGGGATTCGGATCCTACATTACGAATCAGAGAGTCTAGAAGCTGTGGGATAATTACCCAAAAGTAGCAACCCTAGAAGCCTTGCCCTTGATAAGCACCACTTGCATTTTCCGGTTGGTAGCAATGTACTATATGCTTTAAAAACTACCTGTCTTCATATTCATTCAATGTAAGCAATATGTTCTTTAACCTTCCGGCTCTAAGCGGCAGCCATTCCCTCACCTGGTTCATATTCCACTTTCTCGTATTCAATTAATATATGACTCATAGTTTGACAGAGAATACTTTCTAGATGGGAATATTCAGAGGTTCCTGGCACCATTCGGTATGAACTTCCCGTATGGGATGCTTATAATGCGTACTCCACATGCCTAATATTCCTCCACGATCCACCCTCATTACGTCTCGCTGGGTTGCTATCCCGCTACAGATCGAGATATCTGCCCCTATCCCAGATATTTCAGAGCTATCTGTCCATCCTATACAAGGAGATATTGTTCTGTCGCCCAATCTCGCAGTTGTCCTTCGATCATTCAAGATGTCGTCGACCTGAGTTATAATTTCCCAATATCAAGCCCGCGTATCTACCTGCACCCTGAATAGCTCAGGGTTACCTAATGAGACCAAGCACAATGCATCAGAAGAAGCATTCCCTACTACTTCCTAACCAGGACCATTAGCAATGCGCACGCCTTGAGACACTGCTACCTGCTGCATACGGCTTCCACATCCGAGGACTGCCCTCTTGAGCAGAGTGCCAATATGTGGATCTCTCCAATGAGAACGTCCGCGCCACCACGTCTTTGACGAAATCCCCGATGTAGCGGGAGCAAGTCATAGAACGGGCAGCCTGCTACTGGTTGGAAGACGGAAAACTTGATGGGCTATAGAGCATGGTTTGTCGCAAGCCATGCGCTATGAGAAGAACTCTAGACGCATATTAGGCGAGTCGGACTCATTCCTATCGGTCGCAATTGACCGGGACAGCATTGACATAAGTCTATAGGGCGGATAGCCCTATACACCATGTAAAGTATCCGCAATACGGACCAAAGAAGAAGCCAAAAACACGCTGAGAGTGGGAGCTATTCGGAAAATAATTAGATCTCAGACGAAGATTTCAATGGAGACACCTAGTGGCAAGAGAATGCTGCTGCCATGGACAAACCATCTCCATCAAGGACTACCAAGCTAATCACTAGACTAGGCTGCAGCACGTTGCCATATTACGTGCTAATGGCCCAGGCCTTACCGGGAGAATAGATCTACAGGTAGGCACTACCCAGGTCATGAAGGATGACTCTGTATTACCATCCACATGGATCTAAAGACCATGTAAAGGCCCGACGGAAGTACAAAGATCGAATTATTCGAGGGACTCTCAATCTACGGTGGCTTCCGCATCCGAGGCTCTCCAAAGAAGAAATTATATAAGTCGCATCAAATTAACCATGAAGATGGAAAAGGAGTCCCAGCCATGAGCATACCCTGGGAGACTGGGTCCCCAGAGTGAACCTAAAACAAGCAGAATGTGCTGCAGGATGTACCTGTTAACACTTTTTGCAAGCGTTCGGCCAGTGCCCATACGCAAACTGAGCCACCTTTCGTTGTTACATACCATATCGAGCCTGCCAAAGGCGCTATGGCATGGTACATCTTCGCCGCTAAGACACGGGGCTTTCTCTTTTGTACGACTTGGAACTGGACTATGCATCAGAGGTTGCCTATTAATAATGCAGAGGGGCCGTGGTGGCCATGGTGGCGGGGGGAGATGGGGGAGATGGAGACCAACAGGAGGGGGAAGAGGAGCAGGGAGGCCAGCAGTAAGACCACCACCATCAGCAGCAGCAGAAGTGGGAGCAGGAGGAGGGTGCGACTGAATCCAACAATGCCAGTGCTACGCAGCTAGGATCCCTCTTCATTGGCATATCCATCGGAGAAAACGTGGGCAAATTCTCCATTTACTTCTAATCAGAATGACCAACCTATCCATGCAGTAGGACTACCAAAACGGATATGCTCCCTATATTATTAATTAACAGAAAGTTTAAAGGTCATCCTAGCAAATTGCCCCTACTGACCACGAATATATACACAACCTGATAAGGCGTCACTGTCGCAAATCTTTGGCTTGGAGATACCATTCTATGTGTTCCACAGATTCCGGCCCACATCAGTGATCCTGTACGATGTCTATTACCACGCTACCAAAGGGAAACAGGAGAAGCCGGTGCCACTGCGGCGCTCCATACATCTCTGTTTCTTTCGTCTGACCCTTCCACTAAAGAAAAGCAGCCCCGGCAGTTTCCAGTACAGTGTTAGCTTTTGGAAATGGAGGCTGGACCGTCAAGTTCCTGGCTAAGTTTATCAAGCACCATGGCTTGAGAGAGGACATTGAGATGGCCCAACAGATCGCAATAAATCCCTTGGAATGTCGCTTCCCATGGGCTTTCAGTGACCAGAAAGAACGGACGACCTAAACGATTGTAGTCGCAATAAACATTACAATTACAAATTCCCAGTGGCAGGGAGTTCTGAAGGACGACCTTGAGCTGGCTTGTATATTGGCCAGTTCTTTTCTAACCAGGGCTCATATAACAACTATTATGCGCATAAGAGACGACACAGAGCTGTATACCATGGGACGGGATAGGATCGAAGACAGTACAGTCCGTGTTGTACTGACCTACCAATTCTCGGCTCCTACCACAAACCCCGGCTTGATCACCGACAGGCAGCGAAAACCCTTTACAACCCTAAGTCAATGAATCAACACACGCTTAAAAAGTCAGGTTACCAACAACAGGTAACATATCGTCTTTAGTCTGAGGGACCTGCAGACCTTATTTTCATTTCGCCATTATCATTATAGTCTAATCGTCAATCGCATCTCAATAAAGTCGTCAGTACCTCGGCTACTTTATGCCGTCGTCATTGAGCAGTGAGTTGGATGTCCACTTCCCGGCCATTGTACCATTCATTAAGTCAAATACAATTCATATCGATCAGTACAGCGAACTATTCAAATGCCCCGTTCAGAATATAGCCAGTGAGAGGGATGAGATTTGGACAACGTCGATTCAAGGGCACGACGTGGAGGAAGTCATATCCCCAATCCTGACGAATCAAGACTTCTACGGATAACCGTGTCGTCCATTCAATATCATTGGGACGGTAATAGAATCACCCTAGGCGTGAAAGCAGTTTTAAACATGAGAATGAGAGATTTCATTTGCCCCCTCTTTACGATCAATTTAATCATCCAAAACAGGTCTTTTGTTGAGCCTGAAAGCACCAAGAGAATGAATCAACAATCCATACGAACTACTGAGTTAGCACATTCGATTACCCTTTGCTGTTAGACTTTAAAATTACCGTTGATAACTTACTTCAACGTAGAGACACCATATTTAGTCAATTTTATAAGATAGTTATATCCTAAACCATCCCCGCTATTCAGGATGTATCTATATTCATCAGAATAGGGCATTGTTGGGCGTTCCTATCTATACCGAGCCGTTAAGTACTGGTTAAAAGGACCTTAGCTAAAGTGTTCGGTTGCTATTGATGCTCCATCGTTTAGCAGTCTAATGACAGTATCAGTATTGTCATCAGTAACAGCGATACAAGCTTCCTTGGTTAGATTTCTCATCCTTGCAGCGAAGGCGAAGCGTAGATAATGAGAATACACGTATACAAACCGTTTTAAGTGTCGCTTTTATGGAGGAATTTACCCCGTGATGGGTCAGAAGGGTATCAAAACTAAATAGTCCTGCATAGCCTAGTTCTTAGGTCAATGCACCATCCCTTGCTTGACATGAGACCCACTACAACGCCCAGAATAGTCCTTTTCGAATCCGATTCCATCTCCCTTTTACCCACTTACATAGGGCAACCAGACTAGGGTAGTAGTATTCTGCCAAACAACAAACCTTGTAGGACCTAAACGTTTCTATAACGCTTTAACAAGGTGGGTCAATTCAGCTTTAGCACGCTATGTTTTTCATCTTCCTTGTGGCCCCTTTCGGAACACATACCTTATATCCGCTTGAGATGATTTTTAGATACTACGGAGTGTTTTAAAGGTCACGCTATAGCTGGCATACTAGACATAGAGGTGAATGACTCGAGGTATGAATTCCATCTCGAATGTGAGGCGCTTTTTATACTAAGTACATTAATCCTCCCAGTGTCAGTTTGCAAAATCGTCTCGGGTGCGTCAAGGTGTGGTACAATTTTAGACAAGCCATTCAGTGTAAGTGATCTGAGGCCGTAGTCGCGCCATGGGTAGATTGGTACTTGAGCCTATGTTCGTGAGCACATGGACCATATTGGGATATCTCTGGTCATTGGAAACGAGGTATACCGCCGTATCCATATTGGATACTCTTCCGGTTACAATGATGCATACTCGAGAGAGGTCTATCTGCAAAGACCCCAATGAAGTCGAATATTTTGGACTGCATATCTAATTCCTCCCTCATTATTCCACCCTAACCTCCGTTGTACGCCATATGCCTTGCCGGCTGCTATTACTCGCCTCGTCGCCATCTACATCCCCTATCATGTTCTTCAAAGGTAGATCGGAAGACGTAAAGGGATTCTGGGGGTTCGAAAGGGTCGATGCAAGCTTGAGAGCTGCACCGGACCGACTCCGCGAGGTGTTCGCGCCAGAAGAGCCCTTGGACAATTTGAACGTTTTGCGAAAGAATGGGCGGAGTGTCGGGATACAGGCAGCGACAATGACAACGTTCTGTTCAACACTGCGCGAGAGGTTAGAGGCCGCAGACGGGTGAAAGGGGAGGGGAGACGAACAGGCCCCAGAGAACCAATGGTACCACGTTGAAAACTACAAAATGTCAGCCGATATCGCAAGCAATAGAAACGAGAGAGCGGCACTAACGAGGGTCAACCTGGTCCGTGAACAAGTGCAGATATGTTGATTTGACGATAGTGACGATCGCCGAAAGCATTGTCAATCCCATCATGATGCAGACCCCCACTTTGGTCGAAGTCCGCATCTGCAGCTTCCAAAGCGCACGAATTGGTATAATGGCTAACACGATATCCGTCACTGTTGTATATGCGCTCACCAAATACGAGAAGTCATCGAACACATCCGGGCTCCAACATGTCCCCTTGAGGGAGTGGTCCCACAGCATTGCTGGGGGGTTGCACTGGAAGAATACGAGGAAAACGGATATCATAGCCAGCGTAACTTGCACGGTGACCATAGCGTAAAGGAGTCGGGTGCGAAGGGGGTTGGGGTCAAGGAGATGAACGATCAGGATCGCGATCGAGATGTTTGGGAAACTGAAAGCACCTGCAAAAGTACTTTTCATGTTAGTCCCAGATGCTCTGCAGGACAAACTTGTGTAGCGTACCAATATTGAAAGGAAACCCCATGATCTGCCAGAAAGCTGTTTTTACGTATCGTTCCATGCCATGCTCCGCAATGACCGCAGCCGTGTGTCGCCCAAGACCAAGAGTGACTGAATATGAGACGAAAGTCGTGGCGATGATGCTTAGGCCCTAGGCATGAAGTCAACCTTGCCCAGGAAACTTTTGTTAGGATATCGATTGCTGACCAGGGAGAAGAAAATGAGAGCGTCGTCCCACCCAGCCCGCTTACTCTCCATGCGGCTGAAGACCTTCAAAGATACTGCCACGATTGCAACGCCCGTAAAAATCCACCCGACGACATTTATCTGTGCGGCCCGACTTTCGCTATAGTCCACGTCTGTGTTGAACGTGTCCATGATCAATAAGCCACTGGGACCACGTACCTAGGGACCCCAGTTGCGGTCTGGATGGAGATGCAGCCTCGAGCAGTGGAGTCTCTGGACAATAAGTATGCAAAGGGAACGACAGATTTGCGCAGGGATACTCATTGGTAAACCTAATATTGGTTCGGATAGGATGTGTCAATACGACATAGCACCAACCCGAGACGTCTATACAAAGATTCTCCATTTTGACAGGGACACCCTGATCTTGCAGGGCCCAATAGCAACCTTAGCGAAATGCCGGCGCATGAAGGAAGCAATGAGAACTGAAATCTGCACATGCAGCCAAGGTTATCCAACGGAGCAATACCAACTGCGCGGAAATCATCTCCCCTAAGCGAGGTTATCGCGCAGTTATCAAGCTTCCGGGGAAGTCAGGGTGGGGCCGGTAAACGGGACGAACAGCTCGCAGTACTCCGTTCGCTAATACCCTAAACGATGTACAGCACGATGACTCGGTGGAAAATCACGCAAGCAGCCATCAAAAGCACTGGCTGCCACTCAGTGGCGTATAATTACACTAGAAGTGCAGTCAAATACCGACAGCCTCAGCGATTGGAAGACCTCCATTTGGAAAATGCCGGACCGGACCGAAGGATTCTGTCTAGTACGAACTGGCATTAGTAGTAACTAGACTGGCAAAATGCAATGATCTGGACCAATGGCAAGTGCACTGAACGGCACGGCCTGCAAAAGTGCGAGTTCGAGATATATTTTGCAACTGATAACCCCATGCTGACCCCGGCACGAGTCATGCGCCCCAGATGCAAGTTCGCTAACGGCCTCTAAGTCTAAATTTGCTTGATAGCGCCGCGTCAGTGGCTCGGCCATCTACCAATCTAGCATAGAGTCGGTCACTTATATCTGCTTCCCGACTCAGCCGAGCTGAAATTTTGGTGAACAGCCTGGTCGCGGGCAATGGAAAAGGCTTATTGAAACTTAGAACTTAGAACTGGGAATTAGGAATTGGGACATTGGACCTCGGAGCCCCTCGCAAGGACATGATGACCTGTGGGCCTCTCAATGTCGAGATATTTCTTAAAAGGTCATCTCATCCCATTGTGGTGCTTACTCTCTCACTTACCCCCTCATATCCTCCCCCGACACTGAATCCAACCCTTTTACCATGGCCGGCTCATCTGTATCTGCAATTCTAGACGAAATTTCATCTTCCAGCATAGCTTTTAACAAGAATGAAGCTGGTTCAAGAGAAGGCCTGATTGAGCACAGCCGTGCCTTGATTGCGGCCTTAGAGATTCCTAGTGAATTTATACAGCGCACGTTCTGGGCGGAAGTGAGTAGTCATTGCAGTTTTCTGTGGCCCTCTCATGGCTTGCCGCCATGGCGCTGGCACATAAGCTGAATTGTAATATTGACTTGCGTTGGACGATAGCCAGCTCAATCAGCCATCATCCGTCTTGCCGTCGACGTTAAACTTTTCCAACATCTGCAGGAAGCGGGCGATGTAGGCCTGACGCCTGAGGCTCTAGCCCACAGTACCGGGGTCGATACTGTACTTTTATCACGCCTAGCGAGACATCTAGTGGCGATGAACCTTCTTGCTTTCCACAACGGCGCATTCCAGGCCACGAGGCTAAGTAACGATCTCGCAGCGGAGAACTTCCAACACAGCATCTCCTTTTGCTATGATGCGGCCCGCCCTTCATTCAATACATTCCCGCAGTATTTTGAGAAAACCGAATATAGATCCCCAACTCTGGGTGGAACCGACGGTCCCTTCCAAGAAGCCCACAAGACGCAGCTTCCATTCTTCGAATGGCTTATCGCAACCCCGCCGCACCTGCAGCATTTCGACTCCTTTATGAGTGCATATCGAGCCGGAAAAGCAGATTGGCACGATTTCTACCCGGTGACAGAGCGAATGATAGCGGGCTTTGACTCCTCCGTGAGCGATGTTCTCCTCGTCGACGTCGGTGGTGGGAGGGGCCACGATGTCGCAACCTTTGCCGGACACTATACTTCTCACCCAGGCAGGATCGTCCTCCAGGACCGCGAGCCTGTTATTGCGAGCGTAGTGGCTAGTGGCGCAGAGCTACCCTTCGAGGCGCAAGCCACAACTTCTTCACGCCACAGCCTATCAAGGGTGCACGAGCCTACTTTCTTCACTCCATTCTCCACGACTGGGGTGATGATGATGGCATCAAGATCCTGGAGAATCTGGCTCCAGCACTGGTAAGGGGGTATTCGCGTGTTTTGTTGAACGAGATTGTCATTAGCGAAGAGAAGCCCACACTAGCGGCAACGAGTATGGATATGATGATGTTGGCACATTTTGCAGTCAGGGAAAGAACGGAGGCCGAGTGGAGGAGTATTCTAGCGAAAGCCGGATTGAAGGTGGTCAATATCTACAACTATCCGGGGGTTGCAGAGAGTTTGATCGAGGCGGAACTGGCCTAGTGGGGCATGTGGCAGCCGATCGTTTTGCTACGGGATATCTCCTTCATACAGGATATTCGCCTACTAATGTGTATATAATAGAGACAATAAAAATTCATGTGTTAGAGATCAAAAGACTAGAATACGATTACGAAGTATAGTAGGTCCCTCGATATGCTGCATTTTCTCTGCCACAACAGCACCACTGCCGAGGAGAATGGAGCAATGGCATTGACTTCAATCCACTTAGTATTGATGCCAGCAATACTTCAGGGCATGTATCCATTACTAGCCGATCCGAGGCCTATGTACATACATTCTACCAAAAGCTAATCCCTTCTCGATCGGACCTCCAATGGAACTGGGAGGGAATGCCAGATTTGAACACTGCAGCATGCTACGTTTCTAGAATAACTTTTCTGCCCAATGCTACTTTTGCATAGACTTCCTCAAAGCCAGTTGTGCTATATGATCCGCCGCTTCCGGTCGGTTCTTCGAGCACCCCCGAATAGATCAAAACCGAGACCATTATGCCCATGCTACAAACAGCCCAGGTTAGTAAGGCCATATCAAATCGAAAACAGCCACTCAGATGTCCACTGCTAAACCCTAAACACCAGATACACCCCTCGAAGCCCTACGCCCAAGTGCCATCACAACCATGATAGAACACCCATCTACACATAGCCGTCTCATATCGCAGAACAACACGCCTTCCAGAGATAGGCGATTCACTGTTCACTGCAAAGACCTCAAATGGCTAACACTCGCTCCAAAGGTATTCATCAAACGAATCGAAACTGTTCCCGAAACAAGCTAGTATTCAATCATGGTTTAGGCCGAGAAAGTCTGCGTTCTTCCCCGACATCGACAACTCGACAGCGCCGAGATATACGTGATGAAGGGGAGCTGGGCCCATCCCCAGATTGCCAGCTTTGCTGAAGGAGACTACGTCTCTGAAAGCAAAGGAGCTATTCACGACCATCTTGCGTTCGAGAACGACACAGAGCTTTCGACGGTCAGCAGGGACCGCCGACGCTTTCGGACGACAACGGCTCGGATCTGTATATGATGGATGTGATGATGCTACAGAGGATGGTTGGTGGTATGGATTAGTTAGTTGCATTATAAATAGGAGAAGATGCGTGAAGAGTTTGGCCATGTGCGAATTCCTGCTTGCCTTAACGGGCCTTTGCGCCCTGTGTAGATGGTTGGCTAATCTGATACCCTAGTCAGTTTTACTGGGCCTCACGCCCTAGTCCTTGTCTATAGCGCCGGTAGTACATAGCCTAGTGCTACTTCCTTGCTGCTACTATCATATCACCGACGAGGAGAATTTATAGATCTGGCGTCTTGATTTTGCCCTTAATGGTTGGCCAGAGACCGATAGCGCACGAGTGTCGGAAGACGCAGTCTTGTGGGCCCTCGTTTTGCTGGACGATAATCGATCAATCAACATAGTACTTCTAGGCGTACATCTATTATGTTAAGAACATAGCAATGGAATAATGGGAACAGCATTTTATTAATGCTTTATATACACAGATAAAAACAAGTAACGCAACCTGCAGGCCAATGGCATACACTAACCAAATCTACACAACCCGCGTACAGCCCGGCTCAATAGCTTCTAAGATCTCCACAAGCTCTCCCCAGAGCTTGATCTGCGTCTTCTTCCCTTCCTCGCTGCGAACAAACAGAGACAATGCAGTATTATTCACCTTCCCATTTGTCATATAAGCCCCATGGCTCTCCTCCCCACTCGCTGCCCCAGCCACGAGCGTCCTACTCCCCACCTCCGTGGATCTAGCAAACACGATCTTCAAAAGCGTAAACATCAGTCCCATCTCTCGCCCTAGTCGCGAATGACAGAACCCCGGATTCACCATATTGATGACGACGGAGTCCCCAGCTCCCTGCGCCACCATCTCGCGCAGCAAAAGCACCTGCAACAGCTTCGACGTCTCATACCTCTCCAGCATATTTGCCCGTTCTTTATCATCCAAAGCCTTAAATACACTCTCGGCACTCCGTTCTGCAAAGTTTGTCCACGCATGCACCTCGCTGACCACCGTTGTCAACCGGGGCTTGGTACCGGGGTGCAACCTCGCGCTCTTCCGCAGCGTCGGCAACACCAGCAACGCCAATAACATGGTATTAATCACGTTCACCGTGATAGTCCGCTCATGGCCCTCTGCAAGTTGAAAAGTACTGGTTGCTATTGAAGCGTTGGCAACAAACACATCTAGACGCGGGAGCTGGGCTACTTTCTTCCCGAATGCGAGGACGGATTCGTGCGATGCCAGGTCTAGATCCCATATTTCGCAGATGCCGGTCGTGCCGGTCGATTTCTCTATTGACTGCAGGGCCTCTTCGCCGGCGGTGGGGTTGCGGACGGCGAGGATGACTTTGGCCGCGCCGAGGCGTGTGAAGTGTCGGGCTGCTTCGAGGCCGAGGCCGACGTTTGAGCCGGTGACTATGATCGTTTGGTTGGTGAATGATGCCGTGGGATAGGAGGGTGTGATGAACAGTTGAGAGTAGAGGAAATCGTAGTTGAAAACCCCCATTTTGAGATGGCGGATCGGGAGGTTTGTGGAATGGAGGGTGCAGCAGCCTGGGGGAGAGGGTGTGGAATACTGAAGGTAATGGGATATATAGGCTACAGGTACAGGCTTGTCTTCACCTGGTGCTAATTCCGTTGTATAGACGGATTTAGGGGTGGATCAGGTTTGTATAAACCCGGGAGTTGCTCGGTATCCTCAACTATGCATTGATATCGATTCCCAATTGAGGGCTACGAGTCTCAAAAGTGGTTCTACTAGGGGCAGGTCCGTTGCCGCGTTATTTCTGGGGTGGATCCTAGTCATAAATTTGTCCTTTCCAGTGGTATGGGCAACGTATGTATCATTGTTAAATTAAACTCCGGGTGGATTTAATCCTTAAGTACTCAAGTTAGGGTCCACTGATGTTCGGTCCCCGAGCGGAGATTACAAGGTGGCAAGTGTGTTATCACGGAGATAAGAACAAAGCCGGCCACGATGAGCTCCATATTAGAAATTTAACGTCAAATTCTGCACGGGGTGGGCCTCGCTCCGCATCGCATCTAGTTAGATCGCTCCACCAGTCGCATTTTCACTGACCCTAGGAGCATATTCGTAATCCGTTACCTTCCAGGCTTCCTAGGGCGCTGTGAGGAAGTATGAAATTGCTCCTATAGCTAGCTGTTGCAGGTATACGAGGAATAGGTTCTGTGGTTACCTCCCCTGTACCGCAAGAAGTATTCATCGAGTATTGAGTTATTGGTTGGGACCCAAGTCTGATTCCCGGGGAAGTCTAATTCGCAGCACGATACTGTTTGTGAATCGGTTGAATCGATGCACTAAGTGATGCTGATCTATTTAAAAATCGTGGCTGACGAGGATACTCTTAGTGGTAGAGTGGATAGGAAGGGTTTGGGTACCAGAATTGAATGTCAACCGGTCTAAATGTGCTTCAACTAGGGCTGGATACAATCTCTAGCAATGTTATAATTGGGAAATAGTGGCCTGATTTGGGGCGTACACTATGGAGATCTTCGATCCACAGGAGGCACTTAATGATACCACTAAATGCCGATCTAGTGTATGAAAGTTATCCAACTATGCGATACTCTGCCGACCCTCATTTGTCTTTTCAAATGGTCAGACCGTCACTCCTAAAGATTTCTCCATACCCCCAAGGGCCACAAGGTCTAGTCGTTGTACTGACCTATCCTGCGTGAACCTGTGAAATTTACGCAGGAACCATTCAATCACCGTTGTCTTCTTTCTATCAGTTCCCACGAATACAAAATATCCCCGGGCTTGTAAAAGATACGCTGTCGAGTACCGATCATAAGGCTAGGCGCCATCCTCATCAGTACGGGGCAAAACACCGTTCAATATTAACCAGAATCGCTCGCCTAACAGGAACCGTAAAGTGTCCCCAACACTGACAACGCTGTGGCCCTTCCCACTCTCCCGTTATCAGTGTCAGCATTTGCAGACCCGGCCGTTGTGTGAACAGCAGACTCAACGTACCTACGTCTATATGGATGTTGAGATCTAGACCCTTGAATCCTAGGGTTTCGGTGGGCGGTGCAAGTACAGAGCTGATCGAGACTTCTTGTCATCAGGATGGGTCTTGAGGAAATTTTTCATCTTGTTATCATTCGGGGTTGCATCTGACTATACAGAGATAATTGTCTTCGTCACAAAAGGTGAGCCGAAGTAAAGTCATCGAATGTCTGGAAACTTTAGCTGACCACTTCTAACCCTAATGCCATCCTACCGCCAGTCATGCGGGTCCTTCTCGCAAAGTACTCAGTCAAGGCTACATTGGTTGGTTGGGGTATATTTGTTGCTGTTGTGTTGGGTATATCCCTGATAGGCGTGCGGCCACGCCTGCCGTCATCATCCAGGTCCGCCGAGCACGAAAAAGAGAATCCTCTCTCCGGGCAGTTTTCATATGGATTTCTGCGCAAGCCTCTGTTTTGGCTAATTCTTTTATCCAATGTGTTGCAAGCACTGTCCCAATATTTGCCTTCCGTCTACATACCATCTTATGCAACCGCCGTCATTGGTGCTACCTCTGCAAATGCATCGGCTCTACTCGCCATTTACAATATCGCATCCGCCATTTGTCAGCCCCTATTAGGCCTACTTGCGTAATTTAACCCTTCACGGAACGATTCCGAGTTGCGTTACTGATGCTGAAATAGTGATAAACAACGCATTCTATACCCGCTGCTGCTCAGTACTTTGATCCCATCCATTGCTGTTCTGTGTATCTGGGGCTTTGCAACGAACTACGGCCTACTCGCACTTGTATGCATCTTATTCGGCGGGATTTCCGGGGGGTATGTTGTTCTACGGAACCGTTTTGCAACAGCTATCGTTGGAAACAGTGATCGCCGGAATGAAGAGCTGATTGTATCAGGCCTGATCATGTTCTTCAGGGGAGGGGCCACAATCGCATCCGGCTTTGTAGCTACAGCGGTCTCCACTGCGGGCGCAAATCGGGGTCTCCATAAAGGGAGGTATGGTTCCGGCCAATGGCTTCTGTTAATCCTTACTGTTGGGATTCTCACTGGAGTCTCTTGCATTGGCGCGCTAGGATTCCTACGGGAAGGCAGGCAACCGAGAGCGGAGAACAGGAATGAGCAAGGCTATGGAGATTCGTAGGTGTTATGGGATTCACTTGATAACTTGGAACGCACTTGTCAGAAATTTAGAAAAAGGCAGTTTGTGCCTTTGCTGCCACATGGGATAATTTTCTTTTGTATCATTTTTCTCCTGGAATGTGAAGGTTGTTCGTGTGGGAGTTAGGATACCAGTCGGTCGATGTGCTACTCCAGGATAAACAAAAGATTATGGAGCAATTATGATCTATCCTACATTTAGTGAGGGCTTCCAATTAGGTCCAAGAGATACCTCCCAAAACAAAAGACTACACATTTGCGAAAAGTTCCTGCACGGTGGTGAAAAGATTGCTAAGCTCAGCGTACATCCTCCCAAGGCTTGTCCAGGTAGCGTTAATTATGCCTTAGAAGGCTTAATTTACATGGGGGAAGGGAAGATTAGTGGATGTAGTTTGTCTAAAATATCGCTAACTCTATATCTCGTTACCCTTCCCACTTTGTCAGGAAAGCTCATCTCCGTTAGAGATTGCTTTTACCAGGGAACATCCTTTCCATCATACATGTCCCAGCCAGGAGCATGAATGTTCTTAAAGGACCCGTTCGAATCGGTATTCGCCTTGTCGACTACATTCAGAACCGCTTGTGCTCCTTCTTCCGCGGTGAGGTGAGCATCATCGCCACCCATATCAGTTTTCAGCCACTGTATCAGTTAGCAGGCACAACTAGATCTCATCAGGCCCATTGCATAACTTACCCCGGGACTAACTGCCAGGAAGATAAATCCCTCGTCCTTATACGACATGGCGTATTGAACGGTGAGTGCGTTGAGAGCGGCCTTGCTAATCTTGTAAGCCGGGCAGTTGGCATGGCTAGACATTTCTGCGCGGGTCATGGAAGCAAAAGCCGTCGATCTAATTCAGGAGAGATGACCGTCAGTGAAAGGGGTACCATTATTGATGGAGATAACTCACATATTAGCAATTTTCTTGGACTTGCCCATTCTCAACAGAGGTAGAAAGGCGCGCGTCACATTATGTGTTCCAACCACGTTCACGGAAAGTTGGTGGTCGAGATCAGACCTTCAATACTGGTTAGACCTTCTTTGAATAAATCATGCTAACCTTGAGTAAAATACAATACTCACATATTCGCAGTCTTCCCATCCACCCACGAATGAACACCGGCGCAGTTGATCAGGACGTCAACTCCCTTCTGGCCCACGACTGATCCCGCCATTTCGACGCAACTGGAGATATCGGCCTCATTGGACACATCTAGCGGAATGAAAACCACACGACCAGATTCTCGGGCGACGATCTCATCTAACGCGGTGCTAGATTTCCGAGTAGCAGCGATGACAAGGCTGACATCTGTGGGATCCCGCGATGCCAGTTTTTTGATCATTGCCAGTCCCAGTCCGCGGGAGCTTCCAGTCACGATATAGGTCGCCATGTTGGTATTAGGTGAAATCAGTGTGTGAGGTAGATATGTTTAGTTACTTTTAGTATGCGGACTAGTTTATATACACGCGGTAAATCCAGAAATTAGTCATAGGGCCAATTCTCGATTTTATCCAGCCACCCCATTATGCCGGGGGGTTACGGTTCTAAATCCCGAGAACGAAACACTACCATATTCACTAGTGATTCAATTACCAAAGTGTCTCTGAAACTTGACGATCGTTGAGAATGCAGATTTTACTGCTCCGTTATCCAATGGTCGGATGTCCGAGCAGAAACGGTTTAGCATCTACAGAATGGCGCGCAGATAATACGTCGTAATTACGATCAGCCTGTATTTTTCTTTAGCAAGATCTCTCTGAGAGCTAGATACCTTAGGCATCCATGTGTCCCCGCTGAGTCTCTGGAACAAAGATCAAGTCACCAAGGATCTTCCAATGCAATATCTTAGCAGGGATAAGTAGATCCAGGGTCTTTGGAGGCTACTGGTAGACCACACACCGTACCTACGAAGTCATTTGGCCCCCACGTTGGTTTATAAGCAGGATAGAGGTATTTAATCGCTGCTTTGTCTCCTTGGCGCTCTTCATCCTTTCTACTCCATTGCGATAATCTACCTATCTCGAACTCCAATTGTCTGTTCTACTCGCACCTATCAATATGTCTCTCAAGGTCCTCATCTACGCCTACCGTAAACCCGGTATCTCCCTCGAGGACTTCAAGAAGCACTACGAAGCTCACGTCGACCTCATCAAACATCTCTCTGGAGAGGACTTCCCTCTCTCCCACAAGCGCAGTTATGTCGCGCGCAATACTGCCGAGACCCCTGTCGAGGGTGCCAGCGACCGCAATCCACTGACCCCCGCCACGGTGCTTGTCGGACAACAGACCGACTTTGACTTCGATGCTTATGGCGAGCTCACCTTCACCGATCAGGCTGCGTTCCAAGCTTTCGGTGCGAAGGTGTACGCCCCTGAAGCCGCTGCTCAGATCGCTGCCGACGAAGAGAAGTTCCTGGATAAGTCGAAGCTTGCGATTGTCATGCTTGGGGATGTCATCGAAACTACCAGATAAACGACGGTTCAGGACAAGGAGTCTGTCATATACTTGTGCTTTGAGCGGAATCACTTAGGTCACTGAATGACTGATCATAGAAAGGAACTGGCTGCGAAGATGCTGAAGATGGCAGTGGTGAGAAGGGGCTAGAGACTTGTGGAGTGATGATTGAGGGCTTCTGATATTGAGGACTACCCTAAATTGCTATTTCTCTTCTCGCGTATCTACACGAATTCAGTTCCATCAAGTCTTCCTACAATCAACATGGGCAGATTTAGCTTCTATATCTGACTTGAAATGTCAACCTAAGTCCTTATAAATTTGGCATCTACTCTAGGGGGTCGGACGGGCGCGGAGTTTGCCTACGGCGAGGGGTCAGTGAAGAAGGGCACCTAAAGTGCAATCTAAATAGCAACACCGCTATAAGGAGCGGTGGATTTCATCATCCGAGTGGTTATTCTGTGTTAAACCTTCCGGCGCATGATAACCGAACGATATAATAAGTATCTTGCTTGTCTGTCTGTCTGACTGTCACATCATACACTTTGGGCCATCTAGTTTTAACATTATTATTTGGGATCTCTAAAGATAAGGTGCCGGTGGCTCCTAAGAAAGTAGTGCCGGTGGTTCCTATTATGTGGTGCCGGTGGCTCCTAAAGAAGCAGTGCCGGTGGCTCCTAAGATCTGGCGGTTGTTAAGATATAGAACTGGCAGTCTCCAACCCTAGAAAAGACGATAAATATCTTACAATTGGACTAGTCGATAATCCAGAGCATGATCTTATATAGAAAGCATGGTCCACCATAGTAGAAAGTACTTAGGCCCATATTATTTCTGTCTGGTATAGGTATTCAGGCTGCTGCTCGGTTATCTGCCCAGGTTGTCGGGCTTCCGAGCAAAACCGGCTTAGCGTCTCCGGCTGCCCTCGGATGCTCGAAAAATGAGGAATTTTCCGTCCATTATTAATAATTTTTGGGAATATGGTCGCAACCCATAATTTACTTGTTCATACGGTGTAGATTAGCGATCCTGAGGGCTAGTAGGGTGTATTATGGGGAATAAAGTATGAAGGTTAGATGTGAGATGGACCAAATGGTGGTAGGGTGTCTTCAGTTTCCTATGGGGTCCCCATATGGACATGATAACTCAAATGTTGCATGGGACGCAGACGTAGAAATGAAAGCTCTGCATATACTACTTACCACATAAAGCAGGCAAAAAGTAAGAGGTATCGGATCGACCAAAAGAGGGAGAGAAAGCAATCCTGAGAGGCAAAGTCAGGTGACACGACCTTTGCGATGGCTTTTGCAGAGCGGGTACATCCAGAACATGGCTATGCTTTACCTAACAAACCGATGCTGTTTCATGGATGACCAAATCGGGATCAAAAAACTAACAATTTATGCTAATCGTACATTTTCTGGTCGAAGCTAGCAATTCCCAGCAATACCGACAGAACTTGTATCGGGTAGAGTGACATCATGCCGGAGGATATTCTGCCTGCAGTGAGATTAGCCCCATCTCCACCGTAGCCTACATGATGCTCGCTCCTATCGCCCGAGATTCCAAATCTGATGAGAGATAGTGTGATCTGTGTTATTCGAGAAAGGTTCGATGTGATAGACAGCCCAATTGCGCCAATTGCGTCGATGCTGGGGTCGCATGTCAGCGTCTTCGCCCCGTCCGGGCATCGAAGCAGAAATTCTCGCCAAGGTATGGCTACTTTACCCGCTGCAATTGGTTTCTGATTTTTATCGTTCTTCTCCGCCCAGTCTATGGGATATTTCATTGACTAGAGATCGTCCAAGGCTACCGGAAGAGAGTGTCTTTCGATTAGAGCGAGCGACATCAAATACAGAGAGGTATGATATGTCGCGCCTTGCCAGAATACTAACAATTCTGTGACTAACCTGTTCTAGCCAAAGCCCTATATTGGCTAGCGCTCCTGAACAGGAAGAAAACGCAGCAGCAAAGCGAAGAAAGCTGGACAGTCATGCCAACGCAGAAACTCGTACGGAGTGCAACCCAGCTGCTACTCCTGACAATTCAACCCATCATGCACAGCAGGCCAAGCTCGTAATACAGATTGAGGTTGACGGTAGGCAATTGGGTAGAAGGCATCTGAGCAACGAGCGGCGAAAAACTTTTGAGTCGGCTGTGAAGTTAGTTGACAGAATGTCGAGGGGAGAGCACTTGGATTTGCACGAAACCATTGCCCCAGGTGAATCTGCCCGCGAACTGCTCGACATTGAGATTCCTCAGACTCCTCCAGCTGAGCTGCTCTATATGCTTCTTCCAGGTAGGCATACACGGTCTTACCGTCTTTGGTGGTACTAATAGCATCTAGAGCCAACTATGGGCGATGGGCTTCATCATATCAGATGGCCGGATCATATATCCGACAAGGCTTTTGAAAGAATGATGACTAGTCTTCTAGATGGGACCTGCACGGGGCAGCTTTTTTATCAATATACTATCTGTGTCTATGTGAAAGCGATGTTTCATCTATATCAACTGGCGCGGCGATCAATAAATCCCGCGGTAAAGAAGCAGCTTCAGAAGTCGAAACGAACATACGAGGCTGCTGCACTCCAAGCACTCAAGCACATTCATCTCATGTCAGCGCCGAGCCTGTCACTTATCCAGGCTCTCATATCAGCTGTAAGTGATGTTGCTGACCGAAATAACCTACCTTACTAACCAAAGTTCCAGGCATTACTGATGCAACACACCACCAATATTAGCCAATGTTGGCTACTGAACTCGTATGCTGCTCGCCAGATTGTTTCTCTAAATTATCATAAGCCTTGTTCTCCGCCTTCTCAATCGGGCTGTAACGATGAGATTCAAAGTGCCGTCTACTGGTGCTTCTATCTCGATCGAACTACGAGTGCTCTTCTAATACGACATCCCTCACTACCAGAATTGAGTGCGCCTCCTACAGACTTTATTACCACTAATATATCATCACCCTATAACAAGTTATTATTCGTGCTTCTAGATCTGGCAAAAGTTCAAGGAACGTTGTTGGATATAACACTGAACGACAGCGACAAATCCAGGTCTCGGATCTTCGAGATCTTTCAAGGCGTTCAGGAGCGGATGGATAGAGTTTATTCAAGTTTACAAGAAGTAAGCTTTGCATTCCGGTGGCGTCTAACAGCTAGCTGATATTACTTAGACTCGAAGTGACATCTCTGGTCCAGCATTATATGACTGGGTAGCGGCGGACTTTAGCTATTATGCAATTTATGTCGATATGCTTCGAACACGGCTAGGCTACGATGGCAGTCCAGCAACTCACTCCGACTGCTTAGTGTACTCAAGACGAGCGCTCAGAGCATTTCATTACCTCCAAGAACATATCGATCATATGCCAGGCTTCAACGACCCAGAGCCGTCGTTTCTAACATGGTTTGCAGCCTTCCCTCTGTTTTTATCTATGTAGCAGAAGCTAACACCGGTATTCCAGGACCATTGCTTTATACCCAGCAGCCCCCTTTTTCGTTGTCTTTTGTAATATTATCGCCACTTCGGATGAGACCGACTATCGCTTGGTGCAACAGATAATAAAAGGGCTATCACAATTCAAAGCTACGCCGTACCTAGCGCGCCTGCTAAGTCTATTGACGTCTCTGCTACGGCTTTGTGATCCCTTATTTCATAACATGGATTACCAAAACCAACAAGTGCATATCACGGGAGAAGGCCCTTCATCGACACAAGCACCGCACAGCCAGGTGCCGAACAACACAACAAGTGTCCCCGCCTTTGAAACTGAGCTCACGCAAGGTTTGGGTCCCCAGCTATCCTCAACTGCCTACACTACGTATATGAGTGCAGATATCTCGGAGCAAGGAGTGGGGGACGTATGCTACCCAATGGCAGACGACCTTATGTGGCAGCTAGTCAATAGCCAATTTCCTTACAGCTGGCTTGGGGCGGATGCTATTCTTGATATCTTTTGATAGGGTGTTGTGGCTCCCGTTCGCTTCCACAGGTGTACCGTTAGGGTATGGTGTGTAAACAGTCATGGTTTTGTCTACCAGCGATAGTATTAAGGAACAAAAAGCATGATCAACATTGTGTATTCCTGATTTAACTCTAGCGGTGAACACCAAGAATTATCATCGATTGGCTAGAATGTCAAGCCAATTCCTTCCAGATACTCTGTATGTCAAACCCTATCTGTCATCACGAGAATAACAACCCTAAATCCCTCAACGAGCACCGCTTCTCTCAAATCACCCCAATAGAAGACATCCCAGCTCCACACCCATCTAAGTCACCAACTTCCAAGGACAAGCATCTTCCCATGACCCAAGAAACACTCGTGACGCCTATCGCCAATAAACCCCCCCAAACCCTAGCTCGATAGATCTATACGGCGATGTAACTTGGAACGCTGATCAAAGCTTCCCAAAGAACCCAATCTCTACGGTGAGACCCAATCTACGACAACTGCTCGTATATATCCAAGAAACCCAGGGTCCAGGACGTTCCAGAAAATCACCATGAAAGCAAACTCTGCATATCACAACCGCATCCAGCCTAACCTCATCTATCCACTCTAGGCACCCGTATTTCAGCAAAGCTTATCGATGGGCACGGACGGGCGGTGTCACCCGATTTAGTAGAGCTGGAATATGGTTCTGCCATACCAGACTTTGGGCTTTGTTACGGCTGGCTTTTTCCGCGGTGGACGGATGGGTCAGAGTCAGATTTTTCGTCGGGCTTGTCGCGGGCTGGGGGATACTGTGTGCTCTGGATTGGTTTCTATATGTAGAATCAGTAGTACTAAACTTGATGTAAGACAGTAGACAGGCTTATGATCACTGTTCAGCTATCCAAAGGAAATGCAGATAGGAACAAAGACCGCTTTCAGTAACACCATGCAGCCATACAAAGCCAGGACCGGAAAATATCACAAAATCAAATCAAGTTAATTTTATCCCAGACAAGCTTTCTAGTTAACCTTAATTAGAAATTTTAAATCGCGCATGTCAGCCACGTGTGGCTCTTGACTGGGCAGCACGTCTCTATATGTGCCGCTGGAGTAACATAAAACCATCGAATGCCCTCCTTTGCTTACCTGCTCTATATTAAACCTGAGCAACGCATCCTCCTGTTCTGGTACTGATCTCTGTCATACAGTATCCACGCTACATCGATGAATAACCTCGTCGCAATCCTATGTCCGATTCTCCCTGCGCTGGTATGCCGTAACCGCAGACTCACTGGTTGCTTGCTGGCACGTTTGGAAGAGCCTCGCCCTCCATAAGACTGGCTATGCGCTATACATGCCTTGAGAAGACTCTGTGATGGGGTAATGGAATATATTGTTTGTTGTACGTTGATGGAGTGCTTGGGATACCTACCAGTGCTAATCTTGTTTAGTTTGATAGATTGTTCACCGGTTGCTTCGTTCGTCGTTTTGTCGGTGCTCGCCCTGTTGCCAAAATCAAAAAGAAAGAAAAGGAACAAAAAAAAGGAGAATAAAAGAAGACCCAGAGATCCACAACAGTCCAAATGGATCGCTTCATGGACATCCTGCGCAAACCAGGCGCCAAGCCTGAGATCCAGGGCGTCGCCCCGACGCAACACGTGGATGGTGATGAGCTCCCTGGTCACTCAGATGTCAAAGGCTATATACCCAAAAGCAAGCCCAAAATGCTCGATCGCTGGCTGGACGTCGTCGTCAGAGTATCTGGCTCCGAGCCTGTCTTCTTCCTGATCCTCGCAGGCCTCCTCACCTGGGCTCTACTCGGGGTCAAGTACGGATCGACCGAGAGCTGGCAGGTCCTGATCTCCGACGTCCAGGCCATAGTCAGCTACATATTCGACTCCTTCCTTATGAGACAGCAACTGAACGCATACGAAGAGGAGATGGTCGTAGCCGCGGAGCTGGAGTCCCGGATCCTCAGCCACAAACGGATGCTCGCGAAGCTCTGTCAAAAGCTCGAGGCACAAGACCAGGAGAAAACCACCCACCTCGTCAAGGAGCACCAAAACAACAGCCTCGAGTTCGGCGCAGAGCTCCCCACCGAAACCCGGTTCGGACGGACCGTCACCTGGGTCTCGCATGTAATCGGCCACCTGGGCACCATCGCCGTCTTCTGGGCGGGCGTCTTCACCTGGATCGCCCTCGGCCATCGCTCCCACTACAGCGACAAATGGCAACTCTACATGAACTCCGCGTCGTCCGCGCTCATGGTCTTCATCTTCGCCTTCCTGGCCAACATCCGCGAGCGTCACGCAGCCTACACCCGCAGCTGCCTGGACGCCATCTTCCACGTCGACTCGTGCCTCGAAGCCAAGCTCCGCCAGCTCACCCACGACGCCCTGCCCAATGACCCCGTCATCATCCCCGCCCCGCGCGTCAGCAAGGTCCACGCGCGATCTTCTACTACGCTGACTTCGTCGGCACCCTCGTCGGCATCGCATCCTGGTCGCAGTGCTCATCATCTGGCTCGCCATCGGCCCGCTCCTCCACTTTGACTCCACTGGTGGCTCCTCATCGGCACCTACGCCGGCCTCGTCGGGATGAACGACGGCTTCGTGCTGCGCAACATGCAGGCCCGTCTGCGCTGCTACGTGGACGCCGAATACGCCGCCATCACCGCCCACGACGCGAGCCTCTTCGCGACCGCCCGCATGCCGGCTCCCAGTGACGAGGTCATCGGCGGCGGCGGCGGTGCCTCGCTGACGCAGCGCGTGTCGGAGACGATGGGGCGTGTGTGCGCGCACGAAATCACGGTCGTGTTAGGGGTACTGACGATCGTGGGCTTGCTTGCGGGCGCTAGCGCCATGCGATGGACGCTGACGGGCCAGTTGCTGTGTAACGTGCCGCCCAGCTTGATCGAGTCGTTTTTCATGATTGTGTTGGTGACGGGGCACAATTCGGCCGACGATCGGAAACGGGTGGATCTGAGAAATACGTATACGAGGCGGATGCAGTTGCTAGGGTTGGTGAATGCTGTCCAGTCGGTTTGGTGAGTTTTCTGGAGAGGGGGGGGGGGGGGGGGGGCGCCTCGGCTGTAGAGGTTAGTTAGGGTTAGGGATAGGGGAGGAGGGATACGATAAGGGGTGTCGGACGAGTTCGGTGCGAGTAGTAGGTAGTAGTAGGCAGTGCAGTATATGTTCATTAAGGGGATAGTGTTGAGAATGAATGGTTTTTTTTTCTCTTATTATTAATATTATTTTTCTCATTTTTCCTTTTTCATTCAGCCGTTTCCCTCAACTCTTAATTACTATTCCTTACCAGAATAGTAATCCACCCGCCGATCCCTTCGGTCCCTGACAATAAAAAAGAATAAAAAAGACTCCACCGTTCAGCGGTAGTGCGCGTCAAAAGTCCTCAATAACTCAGCATTCCGCGACGTCATAGAAAGTCCCCACTCGACGTTCCCATCCACATTTGCCGAGACTCTCTGACACTCGGCCGGAGCACACGTCGTTCCAGACTTTGGGCATTTTGATATCGGCTACTCCGTGGATGTTAGTATCGTGGGCGGGGGAGCAGACTGCCTATTGCTACTGGTATTGTTTTGTTGAATTAGGGCTTCGAGGACAGATATGGAGCTGTTCATAGCTCGGGTGGTTTATAAGGGGTTATGCAGAGGTACTGTACGTATGTACATTTTGTATAGGAAGTTGTGTTTCTGTAGTTATTCGAATGATATCGTGTATTATTGCTGCAGTCAATGGCAAGAATACTTAGTGAAGACCGGATTTATTATGTGCATGTTGTGATCCTCGAGCGAACTGTGTGCTGCAGCTGCCGGTGTATACCATGCTGCAAAATATATATCCGCCGGATGGTCTCCATGGGACATAGGAGAACTTGACGCAATCACTTAGACTCGTGTCCTCACAGCTAATTATACCGTCTGACTATGTGCTCCCTACATCAAGTGTTGATTCTCCAAAGAAAGTAAATACTAGTCAACCCTTCATTGTGCCCGTGGCAGTGATTGTTTCCCCCATTCAACCGAGAGTTGAACCGTTGAACCCCCACCGTCGCAACCAACACAGCCGTAGAAAGTCCTAGCAACCGCGACAACTATGCCATCTTACTCTGTCTATTAGGTAGAATAACCTCGAATCACTCCGAAGCGCCAAAGCTTAGAGAATACGACGTCGTTTATAATCAAACGGACATAACGTAACCGGTAAGCGACCCGCACCTGTAAGCGACCCGCACCTCACACGCGTTTTCAACGCGCCTCAATTTCTTAGGCAATTTAAACATCAACCATTCTACCAAAAATGCCGAAATCATCAAAATCACGTGTTGAGCAGGAAGGCAGGATCCTACTGGCTATATCGGCCATAAAAAATAATGAAATCAGTGGTGTATACAAGGCAGCTAAGACTTTTAATATATCTCTTACTACCCTACGGGATCGCCTAAAAGGAGTTGCTTTTAAAGACGATAGACGGGCCAATAGTTATAAATTGAGCTCTAGTTAAGAAGAATCGCTTATACAGTGGATTATATTACTAGATAAGTGTGGAGTGCCTCCTCGGCCGGTATACGTACGAGAAATGGCCAATATCCTGCTTTCAAAACAAGATACTACCTCCCCCCCTACTACAGTAGGAGAGAAATGGGTATATAACTTTACCAAGTGTACACCTGAGCTTAAAGCCTGCTTTGCACGTCGCTATAACTATCAACGTGCCAAAACAGAAGATCCGAAGATCTTAAGTGCCTGGTTTCAGCAGGTATATGAGGCTATTCAGAAGTACGGTATAGCTTCATCCGATATCTATAATTTCGATGAAACTGGATTTGCAATGGGCTTAATAGCTTCTGCCAAAGTGATTACTAGATCTAGTACACCAGACAAGCTATTTCTATTGCAGCCAGGTAACCGGGAATGGGTCACTTCTATAGAATGTATTAGTTCTAATGGATGGGCTCTACCTCCCTGTATTATATTCAAAGGTAAGGTATATATGGAGGCCTGGTACGAGGATCAAAAGATCCTATCTGATTGGAGGATTGAGGTCAGTCCTAATGGCTGGATTAGTAATGAGATCGGCCTACGCTGGCTACAGAGTTATTTTATACCTGCTACTACAGGCCGATCTATTGGATGATATCGATTACTTATTTTAGACGGCCACGATAGTTATCTGACACCTCAGTTTGATCAGATATGCTCAGAAAACGATATTATACCGATCTGTATACCTCCTCACGCTTCTCACAGGCTTCAGCCGCTTGATATTGCTGTTTTCTCGCCTTTAAAACGCGCGTACGGTGGCCTTGTTGAATCTAAAATACGCTGCGGGCTTTATTATATTGATAAACTTGACTTTTTGGACGCCTACTCTGAAGCTTGTATACAGGCGTTTACAAGAAGCAATATTTATAGTGCTTTTAGAGCTACCGGCCTAGTTTCTCTGAATCCTGAATATGTTCTATCTCAGCTAGCAGTCCAGCTCAATACCCCTACACCTCCGGGTAGTAGACCAAGCAGCCGAGGCAGTTCAGCGCCTAAAACGCCTCATACAGTCAAGCAGTTGAAAAAGTCAGAATCTACGCTTAAAAAGCTGCTTAAAAATCGGTCTCGCAGTCCCGATTCGCCTACTAAAGCCTGTATAAATCAAATGATTAAAGGCGCTGAGCAAGCTATAAATAATGTGACGATATTTAAGCATCAGCTTGAGCAGTATGACGCTATATATGAAAGCCAGCTTAAAAAGCGAAAGCGCTCTACTAAGCAGGTTGCTTTTGAAGAGGGTATGTCAGTATTAGACGCCCGAATCTATATAGAGCGCAGAACTCAGGCAGATGAAGCTATTCAGGCAGAGGGAACTTGGCCTGCTGAATCGGGATCTAGACGCGCCCCCCCTAGGTGTTCTGGCTGTAATGTACAGGGCCATAAAATTACGAACTGCCCGAATCGATAGAACTACTCATTTTTATATAGAAGTCTGAATTCATGGTGTTTTGACTATTTTAATTTTTTATATGGGGGTAGGGGTGCGGGTCGCTTACAGGTGCGGGTCGCTTACCGGTTACGTTAACTCGCGGACATAACCTCATTTGTAAGCACGACTCGATCGCCAAGACCAAATGCGCCAGTCATGCTGGCATCAACCGTGATATTTATCTCTTGGGTAGTATGGAAGGAAGAAGAGAATCCGATAGTAGAGGGGCCAATTCACATTGAAGTATCTTGATTTGCGGGATTGTCGTACGGCAGTAAAGACCACAGAACAAATCGAGGGCGAAAGAACAGAACGCGACCGAGCAACATGACCAAGGTCGGCGTCTTCCCCGCGGCAGGCGGCTTGGGCACCAGCATCGTCAACCACCTCGTCAAACTCGTCCCCGCCGACCAACTCATCCTCATCGCCCGCAAACCCGATTCCCTGGCTGAAGTGAGTCGTCTCGGGGCGACCGTGCGACGCGCAGACTATGAAGATCCCTCGTCGCTGGAACGCGTGTTTGACGGGGTGGACGTGTTGATGCTGATTTCGTATGCGTCGTTTGAGATCCAGTATCGCGTGGAGGTGATTCCTCTCCCGCTGTCTACTTTCGCGTAATAACTACCAAGGCCATGGCTGACTACCGCATAGGCCCATCGCCATGCCATCGACTGCGCGCGCCGCAGCGGTGTCCAGCATATCTTCTACTCGTCGCTCGCGTTTGCGGGTGATCTCGCCGACTCCAGCGTGGCGCACGTGATGGGCGCCCATCTACGAACCGAGCAATACCTGGCCGATCTCCAAGCGCAGAGCGACATCACCTACACGGCGATCCGCGAAGGGCTTTACTCGGAGTCGTTCCCGATCTACACGGCCTGGTTTGATCTGGCGCATCCCGTGGAGGAGGTTACGATCCCGCACGCTGGTACCCCGCCGGGGGTCACGTGGGTCAAACGCGACGAACTCGGCGAGGCCACCGCCAACTTAATCGCCTCGTACCGGCAGGACCCGCGGTCCTTCCCGTATGTGAATCGGCTGGTGTTGCTCGCGGGACCGCGCGAATATTCGCTGCAGGAGACCGTCGCGATCCTCGGTCGAGCCGTCGGGCGGACGGTCCGCATTCGCGAGATCTCGCCGGATGAGTATGCGGCGTTGTCGACGCACGGCACGAAGCACACCTACCATGGGATTAACCTGGCGAGGGAGTGGGCGACGGCGTGGGATGCGATCCGACGGGGGGAGACGGCGGTGGTGACCCCGCTGTTGAGGGAGATCTTGGGGCGCGAGCCGGAGGACTACGAGACCACGATTCGGGCATTGGCCCGGGAGGTGAGGACGCAGGAAGCAAGTTCACTAGGGCTGATTTGAGGGAGCCTCCGGGTGTTTACTGACTAAGGAAGGGGAGGGTTGAGTGCGAGCGGGTTATGTATCATAGCGGGTCATGTGACTTCATCGCGGGGTTGCCCTCACCTGGAACCTCCCCATCAATGCTACGGATCGCCATGAGCGCAAACACCACCACCACGCATCGGATTCACCAAATAAAGATCGTCGGCCATGGAGGACCCTCGTCACATCGTCCGTAGCGGTTTTTCTGGCGATGTTCGAGCGGTGTTGGTCGCGTTGTAGATACACCGCTGGTTGGCCGGCCCAGATCTCACCCGACCGCCAGGGACTGCCGCATCTGAACCACGGCATCTAGCAGTAGCGCACCCGAGCTAGCCTAGCCAACGGCTGACCTCAACTTTGGATCCGGGGCAAGGTGCAGTTCCCCCCCGCTGGTGGTCAGAGCTTCTGGAACTCAATCTGAGTTCGCCAAAAATGCCCCTCTCGTCCCTGGATCTCGTAGCACCTGCATCCGGACCGTCATCACCAGTCGGCCGTCGTACGGACCGTGCTGAACGTCGTCCTGGCCGCCGTTTCTCAGATCTCGCGGGGGTTTGCGTGTTCTTCAGCCTCTGCGTCCGGGATTGGGATCGGGGACAGGAGGGTGAAGATTACCCCGCGGCTCGTAGGATTAGGGCTGCAGATTGGCCAGAGATCCACTCGGCTCTCCCCGGCGTTTTGGGTCACCACACCATAATCAATCAATGCATGTCATGATCCAGCGCAGGTTCAGAGCATCACGGTGGCATGGCGGATAAGGTCTGTAACCCATCACGGCAGATAGGCTTCTTCCGCCATGACATGCTCATTGCAGCCAAGCCCTAATTCCCAAGTCAGCGCTGCCGCACCAAAATAAAAAAAAAATCACCAAATTAAAATACTAATAAAAATAATTAAAAAAAAGAGGGGTAACAGAAATGGATATGGCTGAGCCCCTCTATCAGCAAAGATACTGTACCTCAGAAACCAACAGGTTGACTCGGACCCCTCCATTCCGCCTCACCACCTCCTGAGACAGAACTCGTCCGAATGGAAAAATTTTCACAGGCAGGTGACAACCTGTCTTCATTCTCACCCGAATCAATGCATCTTCTCGGGCGATATCATCGGGAGTTTTCGAGACATGATCGCAATGACCAGTATCAAAATGGTCGGTGGTTGCAAAGGTGACGAATGACGCAACTTGGCGGGAGTTTCGCACTGAGATGCCGGATCACACCACTGGGGTTAACAGGGAGAAGGAAGAGGGACACAGAGAAAAAATAAAAATAAAACTAAAAATCAAAAACAAGAAAAGAGGACCCTCTCAGTCCGGCTTCCGAACGGGCAGCCGAGGCGTCCTTAGGAGACTTCTACCAGCTGCGGGTTAACTTTACTACGGAAGGTTAATTATTAGCATTTGTTATGATCCACCCTGTCATCGTTTGCCTGAATTGGGTTAGTGTGGAGGACCCAATGGATGGATTTTGAGGTATGAGAGGAGCCGTTTGTCGTCTGTACTCGGGGTATTTTTTTTTTTTGAGTTGTCGTCTGGTGGACTGTGTGTGAGGGTGAGGAACGAGAGGTCCTATGCCCTGGTGGATAGGTGCTATTCTTAGAGAGAACCCTGCACAGCATCACCGGGGGGGGACTATTGGGAGAGCCTTGCCGAGAGCAGAAAAGACTGCGAAACACACGGAGAAACCGTCGACGTCGCAAGAGAACCTAATTTTCCGTCGTGACCTTCGATCCATCGCACACGAGGGGTATACTTCCTCTTGTGGAAGGGCGATGCGGACAGTGGACGAGCAACACGTGTGCCGACTGTGGACGGTACCTCTACGATCCGAAGTCATCAGTTGGGTCACGAGTCCTGGTGGCAGCGTGGAGGAGAAAAATTCTCCGACAACAGATGCAAGTGTCAAAAGAGAGAGAGAAAAAAAATGAGAGAAGTTGGACACGTTCCTCGGATGAGTGAAAGCGAGGCGGTGATTGGTCGGGGAGACCGTCCCATCCCTCCTGAAGGTCTCCACAGCGGATGCCCGATCCCATCCCCTGGAACTGGACAGGCCTGGTCCGTGTGTCAATAGTCAGTATTCGAAGTCTCATACAGGACACTACAGACAGAGGGGCAGGTAGATAGCCGGTCGCTGGGGGGGAGAGAATTACACCAGTGCCTGCCTCTCCAGATAGGGGGATTGCTAATAAGAGGGTTCTGATTGGAGAATCGGTCACATCGCAGGGCAGCTGAAGGCGTGATGAAGCCCCTCTCATTGGACCAGGACGCTGCACAGGACGTTACATCACTCGCCTGAAGATGATCGGTCATCATCTTACATACCGTACGGAGATGACTGGTTGATATACCAGTCGTCTGGTATCAGGATGATGCCAGTCAACGGTCGTAGTAGTCGAACCAGGAAGGATCCCACTCGGATGAAGGGAACATTATTTTTTTTTTACCAGTGAGCATAATTGATCTAGTACCCTAAGAAAAAAAGGAGATAAAAAAAAGAAAAGAAATAACATAAGAACAGATAGACCAAAAGCTAAAGTAAAAGTAAAAGAATAATCGAAAAAGGCAATAGGTGACGGACCTGGACGAGTACAGCGTCATCTCCAAAGTGTAAATAATTAAGGAGAGAATTAATCTGGAGGTACCCCGAGTTGCTCAAAGAGGCAAGAATCTCGCCTCAGGCTATCTTTCCCACGGACGGGCAAAGTCGGGATAAAATCAATTCCGCCGTGGTTTCACTACACAAGGTCGCCAGAAGGGAAGTGGGAGTTCCGCATTTTTTTGGTGCCTCCGCCAAAATGTCCGATGCAAAGCCATGACACGGCCGGGTGATCGGCCCCGAGACTCGGCCGGGCCCCTCTTGGCAGTTGAGCCTTCCGTTTCTTCCCTTCAACGGTCGTGCATCGATCCCAATGTCTCCACCCGCCTGGTCCCTTTCCTGTCTTTGACGCTTTTGGACTCCTGACTGGACAGGGCAATGACGACTGTCATCGGAGCCGACCGAGTCTGGATGCTGAGGATCCGGCTGGGGTGATCTCGGTTGTCCTTCACCGGGCAAATCACTTGTGCTGCATACTAACAATCGTTTGGGTCGAAATTAAGTGCCTTTTTTCTTTACGATACCAGCCCTTAATTACATCACCGTCTGAAAAAATAAAATAAAAATAAAAAATAAAAAACCTTCGCTTCCTTTATAAAGAAGCTTCACACTCGCTGCCGTTATTCTATTTTCTCTACCAGATCCACGGTTCCAAGATTAACAGCTTTTCTGTGATATTTATTTATATCCCTTCCCCTCCCACCAACCCCCCCCCCCTGGCGATATCAGATTCCAATCTATATCTCTATCTACCATAACAACCACTTGATCTTGTCGACCTTCGACTATCATTACCACTACCACCAACCATTACCATTACTCATCAATGGCATACACGAGAACTGATCCTTCGTTCACCTTGAGTGACGACGAACGCATGTACATGAGCCACCACAGCCCCATGCATCGCCCCTACGATACCTTCCCCGCCCCCAAGGTCCCGATCCCTTGTCGGCCAACTGGAACTACGACAGTGCCATCGACCTCTTCTCGATGAACACTATGATGCCCGAGAACTTCGCGCTCGATGTGCCCAATGAACCTATGGGGGTGGATCCAAAGGATTTCCCCGCGGATTTCTTCGCTCCCCCTCCTGACATCAGTGGATTCACGATCTCCAACCACTCGGGCGAAGATGCCGGTTCGATCACTTCGGTATGGTACTCCTCATCTGATATCCTCTGGGAACCACCACTAACAGCCTGATAGGATCTTGAAAGTGACGATCAGTCTTGGTCTCCCACCTATGCTGCTCCCGCCGACATGCTTCCGGCCCCGGGGAGACAATCCACCCGCCGCAAGACCACCCCAGTTGTGAAACGCGAGACGACCTGGTCGTCCAGTCCTGAACTCGCACCCCAAGAATACTCCACCCACACGGCCGCTCAGACGACTCCCACGTCGCCCCCCGTCAACCGCAAGATGACCCGCACCACCTCGGTGGACTCCAATGCCAGCACGGGCCCGACCACAACGGCCACCACGACCAGTGGGCGCAACGCTGCGAAGCGTGCCGCACACAACATCATTGAGAAGCGGTATCGCACCAACATGAACGCCAAGTTCGTGGCCCTGGAGAAGGCCATGTGTGGCGGAGTCCAGAAGTCGAGCAAGAGCGGATCGGCGTCGCTCAAGAAGTCGGAGATCCTGACCAATGCGATTGCCTACATGCAGGAGCTGCAGGAAGAGAACAAGGCCCTCCAGAAGGAGCTGGCCATGTTCAAGCAGAACATGGTGCCGAGTGCGATGTGGCGACACACCAAGGGGGCTGAGAGCTTTCGCGCTTAATTTGTGATCCTCTCGCCCTGGTTATGACCGTCATGTTCTTGTACAATACACTACTTTAATGAGTCGAGTACTCTCCATTCGTTGATTGATCGGGTTGGTTGGCGAAAAGGTGTCTGGTCGTGATATACCCAAAAGTTGCTTGTTTTGGTTTTATTTTTTATTTTTTCTATTTTTCTGTCTCCTATGTCAGTTAGACAATACAATCTCCCACACTTCGAGACTACTACACTTGAGATCCATTACGTAGAGAAAGTATTTAGTCGAGGATCAGCAAGTAGATACAGAGGTCAGACTAGACTTACCCCTCCTTCCAGCGCTCAGCCACAACACACACAACTAAAAAGACCCCACCGGCCAGTTGTAATGGAGATCAGCGAAAATCTCCGACGATGCAGCCACATCCCTGCACATCACACCGAACCCTAATCCCCTGCCTCACTGTGCCCTAACCTAACGGCCTCACCTCTCCATCCCACCGCCATCACCACTCCCCCCATGATAACGAGTCGTCCCTCAGGGGGCAACTTGATCCCGTAACAGGATGGACCGATCGACTCTCAACCTCCTACCCAAGCCAACCTTACCCCCCCCTCCATCTGCCACCAGGGAAGACAATCCCTCCAGCCCGCAGAAGTTCTAGACCAGGACAGAAGAAAATCTCCGACAATATCCATAAGGCACCCGCTAAGCTAAAACGAACTCCATTCACCCGGTCTAGACCCAGCGGGTCCGTCGCCTTGTTTCCAGATTCCTTCCGCCTTTTTTATTGGCAAAATCCAACTCATTTTATTTTCCACGGTAAGATTAAAAAAAAAAAAAAAGACAGATCATCATATTTTGCTCTTTCGCTGGCTCACAGAACGGCCCGGTGCCGCCTCGGAAATGACACATTCACTCGCCGCCCAGCCCATGCAGGGTCGAGTGGGGGGTATATGACATGATGGATTGTGATTCGGACTATTCTTACATACATTTGCAACCCGTCCCATTGTAAGATAGAAATTTTACTCATCGGGCTCTGCCTTACGTTAGATCCATTGTCCCATTACATGGTGTCTGTATGTACCTACCTACCGCTTCTTGCTGACCCCGATCCTGGCGAGCAGATCGTCGGACATCTTTCGGCCGACGGTGCTCGTGTTGGCACCTGGTCTGGCCGTGCCAGGTACCTGGACTAGGACTGGGGGTTTTGTTACTTGATGACATTGTCTGATGTGTAGAGATGTGTTCTGTCTTCTACGGTGTGGCCCGGAAGTGGTGGGATTGGATGTGATCGTGATGATCGTTCCTTGTGATTTGGAAGAGTGAATCCTTTTGTACGTTTGTTTTCCTTTTCCGGGGCTGAGGTTCTTGTCGGCCGTTGTGTAGTGTTGAAGTATATAAATAAATGGGTTACTTAAGACCTTGATGTGTTCTGTTGTAGGACTTTGACGTCAGATTAGGATTTGAGCTAAGGGTTAGAGTTTGGTCTATTTTGTTCCTGAGAGAAAGAAAGAGATATGTCAAAGACGACATCCTATTCGTGCGTGATTAACTCTCCTACTTTTGTTCACTCCATTCTAGGTGGAGGCTAACGGTCTGGTATAATAGAACGAAATCGAACCCCACGGCCGCTACAACTGTAGCTACCGGAACAACCTCGATTACCCAGCCTATGAGTACCTCAGATCAGACTACAAGGAACCACGCCGAGCTGGATAATATCTCCCGGTACCGGGAGAGTCCGTCCTGGATGGAGCCGTATTATGCTGCCGAGCGCATGAAGGATAGGGAGGGTCATCGGAGACGCATTGGAGATGTGATCAAAGGGGTGGAGGGCATCCTGGGTCTGGAACCAGAACGGCCATAGAGACATTTTGGTACGGTGTGTTGGGATGGGGCTATGGAGGTTACACAGTTCGTATGAGAGTGGTGTAGAAAGACGGCGTTAGTTTGGCCTGGTTTAGGGATTTGGGATGGTATGGATACAATTTTAGATGGGCTTTGAATGGGTTATGTTTTTCCTTTGTCATGATGTGTTTACAGTGTGCTATCAAGACACAAAACTGTCCAGTCACGTTATCTTAAAAGTCATGACTCTGTAGAAGCTCAACTATGCCCCCATTGCATTCTCACAAAGGAGGACATCCAATACATCCGGATTCTAAATCTAGCCTTATATGACAAAGAATCCCCAAGAAACCTCAAGCAAATCATAAATTCATAAATCCAATTAACCCCTCTATTTTGGATCATGCGCAACAACCTCAATCTCGACCCTCATATCATCCTCCCCCAGCCTCGTAACCCCCACACAAGTCCACAACGGCTCATGATCCGGCATCCACTTCCTAAAGTTTCTCACCATAGCCTCCAGTGCCTCATTGTTGATGGGCACATGATACGAGTTCACCCGATACACCTGCGACCAGCCCTTCCCGCCGGCCGTCCTGAGCGCCAGATCCACGTTCGCGAATGCCTGGTCAATCTGCGCGTTGATTTCTTTATAGAATTCGCCTGTGTTGGGGTCCCAGCCGCCTTTTTATTGTATCTCATGTTAGCGACCTTGGGCTATTTGGTATATACATTCAGAGGAGTGAGACAACCTTGGCCGGAACATTCGATGCGGTCGCTGATGCGGACAGCTTGGCTGTATTTGAAGGTTTGGCGGTTGCGTTCACCCACTCCCGGGTAGTTGTAGTAGGGTAGGTGGGACATTTTGGTTTTGTGGCTTTTGGTACTGTGGACGTGCGTCTGGTGGTTTGGGAGGGGTTTATATAGGGTTTTGCGCTGCGGAATATATCTTCCGCTGATGAGGTCATAACCCGAAGAATGGAACTTTATCGGGAGACGGAGATGCAGACTGACAAATCAACCTTGGGGTTCTTGTTTCATCTGCTGTACGTGTTAGGGAGAGGTTTTATACTGCCAGCTGAGTTTTGGCGGTTGTCATTGCCGCTCCTCTAGGTGTATGTATGGTTGGGAGACTGTTCAGACGTAGTGCATTACCACATCCGCTCCCAGTTGATCTGATTTAAGATATCGAAGAACCCGTAATCGACCGGGAGTGATTCCATTGGGACTGACAGTTCCAATTGGTTCGCTAGTGCGTTACCCGGGTTGACGCTTGGGTTGGATTCAATCTCGTCAATGACGTTCGGGAGCTCGACGCCTAGGTCGAGTGGCGGACTAGGGTTCTTTTCAAACGGGTAGAGCCCCTTCTCTAGAGAGAACGTGTCATCTGAGATGACGGACCGGCAAAGCTTCCGCAGATTATGTCCGATATGGCCTGCAGGATACCACGATTTAGAGAGCTCGTCCAGCACTGTTAGACACAGGGCCAGTTTGCTCTTATGGGAGGGGGCGTTCAGATTCTCGGTTTCGTCGAGGAGGACCAGCGCTGCCGATAATGTGCAGTGGGTTGCTGTGATCGGGCTCAGATGGTATCCTCCGAACGTGTGTCGGTATTTCTGGGCGACGAGACAGATGGAACGGGCGGATTCGCGGCAGATGGAGTGGGCTAGGTCTGTGGTTTCGTCTTTGGTCTTCGATGGTGGGCTCTCCCTCATGATGAATGGTTTGGCCAGTAGGATTCTAGCTGTGTGGTACACCATGTGGAGTGTGTAGGCTTGGGGGATGTCGTTGGCACGGTCGATTCTTAACTCTGTGGGGAGGTCGTAGAACCACGACCTCAGGTCTAGGAGACATGACTTGAGGAAGGCGGGTCGTTGGTGCTCCTTGAGGAGCGGTTTGGGTGCCCATCTGAAATCGTTAGCTGAGCGATAAAGGTGAGCGTTGGGAATTGATTACAGTGACAGAGTGATCCTTTCTTGGATTCGACAGACGCTAATCATGGCTCGCTGTAGCGGTCTGAATGCTTTCTGAGCGGAACCCATCTCGATATTGAATACTGGATCGTCGCCTGGTACTTTGACGGCTCCTTGTGAGTCCTACATCTGTCAGTATACTGTGCCATCTACAGACCAGTTGACCTTACAAGCATGGAGCAGATCCGTCCCGTATAACTAGAGGACAGCTTATCATGACAGTACAGGGTCCAGTATATCTGTCGCCTGAGCTGAATCTCCCGTGGCGTCATCGCATTCGTCTCTTCAAATCCAGCCGGGTCCAGATTCAAGCCCATATCGAGACTCAGTCGGTTTGCCATCCCATGGTGCAGCCAGCCAGCGGCGTCGGCCCCCATCGCCTGTTCTCATTAGCATGTACTAATACCCAACAAACACAGGCAGTACTATCGTACAATATACACCATCCCAATCAGGCCTAATGCTTGGATGGTAGTTAGACTGGGCCGTTCCATCTCCCTGTGGAGCTGGGTTCTCGCTTCTTCGAGGAATGCTTTCCCCGCCGTATTTGGATCATCGGGATCCGATCGCACGTCGACACGGTCGGAATACCGCGACCCCAGAGCGAGAATGCAATTATGCAGCAGTGGCGTCCAGTACCGTCCACCGTTATTCATACTTTCCCTGAAGAGCTCTTCGTCAACCACAGCATACCATGGATGCTCCCACCGGAAATACAAATCGATTAAGTGGTCCTGCACGTCCTTCGGGACCCCCATGCCAGCCGTGGCCGGGTCAATGGGGTCGATATAGCCATAGCTATCAGACACTTGATCTGGCGGAGAGACGGAAAACGCAGAGCCATCCATACTGACTCGATTACTGGAAGAGCCCTGGAACTGGAGCCGGCCACTAGTCGGCCCGAAATACCTCATCTCGCCGTCCTGGTCGAAATTCAGCGATTCGTCCAGAGCCAACCTGCCCTTGAAATTCTCGGCCAGGCTATCCATATCCGAGGACGCGTCCTCATGCCGTACACTGCCGTTCATACCGGATTTCTTCTCTAGCGGCAGCTGTTCCGGTACTTGCGATTCCCTCGCATCAATCCCATGCCGTTCCAGTAGCCTTTCTAGCGATTCTATCCGCTGTCGCAGGAGAAGTACATATGTCTTGGACGCCGGTCTGCGACCATCCTCCGCGACGGAATACTGGCACGGAATCCGCCACTGTGAGCATCTGGAGCAGGATGGTTTGTTTCCATCGCACTGGTGGGTTGTGTTAGTAATCCAATCGCCGAGTCGATTGAGCTTCGCCCACTTGTTGATCATGCAGCCACTTCACTAACCTTCGCTCGTCGCCGGCGACACTCCTCACATGCTCTAGTGGTGTATTTCCCGCGCTGTCTACTTGCATTTCTACGTGTGTCGGGGGACATGGCGGCGATGTGACATGAAGGGGGTTTGGGTCCAGTTGCCTGCTGATCTGCAGTGGGACGCAGGACGTCAGGTCTTGGCGTTTGCGGATCCACCGGAGGATCTATGGATCTGCCTTGCTGGTCACGGCTTATGCAAGCCTTTTTTCGCCTTCTACGGGGATTTGTCGGGGAATTGTACTGATGACTGGATATCAAAAGGGGAGCGCTCGTCGAGCGTGGAGTTCTGGTTTCTAGAAGGTAGGGCTTCACAAATGACATGCCTAGTCAGTACCTCATCCCGAATAAGATCCTTGATTTCGACCAAGATCTTGTCTATTTTGTGTCTAAATAAAGTTCGGAGCCCTTGACTTCCGCTTCCGGATGAGTATGAGATCTAGACCGGCGCAGCACTTTGGTAGGATCCGCAGAGTTCCGCGGAGTCTAACTCTGTTATCCGAAGATCCGCAGTGCCTTTTACCGGTAGATGCTCTTGTGCCTCTGGATAGGCAGGGTATCTGGGACAAATCTAGACCATAGATTCACGAAGATAGTGCTGGCAATGGTAGTAGGGAGGCTGATGCCAGTGCTGAAGCTGAAATATATAGAAACTGAGTAATGTAGACCAGATGCGAATCAACATAAATTACTTTTGCGACAGCCCACTGGAACCCAAAATTGGTGGCGATGACATTTAAAGACCAAGAATGTATAGGAGATTTTGCACTGACATAATGTACTCTCTATCCAACTTACTCGCTCATTAACGCATTCATTGGTTGAAACAAGTGATCTTCGCATGTTCCGTAACTCAAGAACCTGATTCACCACTCCTTTTCCAGCTCAGCTTAGCTGAACAGCGATGTTTTGCCATTTATGCACACCGATGGTCAAGTTAGCTTTGTCTAGCCTTGCCATTCTTATTGTCTGTAGGGAGGTCAACCACTGGGGATATGGTGTACTTAGTCCCTATTCTCCGACGAAATGTACGCCCTTGGTCGACGATGTCCAAGGCGACAGCGAAGATGGGCAGAGCACATCTTTTGGAATCCACACAGAGACAGTGGGCCAGGAGAGTGGATACCACACGCGCAATCCTCCCAAGTTGCTGAACAGCGACGAACAGTGACCGCCTATCATGGAAGCGTCGACGTCCAGGGAGAATCCCACACAATTATTCATGGCCGCCTCCGTCCAGAATCAACATCTTTTGCCAGCTCTCTTGTTTCTGAATGCCGCTTCCAGGGAGTGAAGTGGAAAAGTCGGCTTCCTTGGGTTAGCATACTTATTCAATTTCGAAGCCCTATGCCGGACATTTCCGATCCCGCCATACATGCCTTTAGCCCGCAAGGGACATACTCTCTTCTCCCGATAGATCAAGAGAAGTCCCATGAACGACATGGCGATCTCAGCGCCGGAGCAGAACGGATGGGTCTTAGCCTGAAAACATCCTATGGCTGGTCCAAGACGGTCAATCGCAAGGATACGAATGATACGAAAATCAAAGGCATGAAGATCTGCAATACTTATGGGGAACCTATTGGGGTCAAATGGACACTGGAGGAAAATCCAGCAACGCAGACTGGGGTACCAGCTTACCTACGAGCCGCAATTCGCCTGGAGAGGCAAGAGGACTTCAAATACGAGGCTGATGTCAAGGTGGAATACGAAGTCGATCGCAAGTCCTGGAAGGAGCGCTTTTTCGGAGCCAGAGATAAGAATGACCCAATCCTGTATAAGCCGGCAAATGCCCCAATCAACAGGCTACCCCTGCAATATGACAAAAATGACCTAGGATGTGTTGACATGGAAGGGCTTTTTGACGCTGCTGTCCACACCATTCTCTAAAACAGTGTCCGGATGCGCTGTCCATCGAATTATTCAGAGGCCAGGCATTGGTAGGGTACCTAGCAGTAAAGGGACAGATGTCAGTAGAGTCAACATTGGAAAGAATGCAATAAATTGCGTGAATGAGCAGGGAACATAGCAAAATGCAGTCAATGGTGAGACTTATATGATATGAAATCACTCAGTTCACGTTCACGATAATCGATTGAAATTAGGCGATAGTATTTTTAGTCAAGCACTTTTCTTTTAACATTTGCTAGATGCGTTGTGTTGTGTTAATGCTAAATCGATTGTTGCTGGAGTACGGTGGTATGATACCGACGGCAACCTCCTCAATGCTCACACCGGAAGGCTTTGCGTCAACCAGGAAACTGGAAGGTTCTACTGATTTGGGGAGTACAAAGTTGAGGGTCAGGTTGAAGGTGGTGGGATCTCCGTCTATTGCTCCGACGACCTTGCTACTTGGGAGTTTCACAGGCTCGCTCTAGGTGGGTTTCGAGTTCCACGTAGTATACAGCACCTCACCCCCACCACCGATGAGTATAGTAGTATGGAGTTGTACAATTTGTATCACAAACCCCGCTATACACCTGCAACTGTTCTCACAATGCATGTCCCGTGATGCCCCCACCGAGACAGCCAGCGTCGTGGGCCATGGGATATCAATCACCACGATGTCTGCCCAGTCACATCCCCCTCCTGCCGCAGTTGCTGCCCCAGCCATTATCAAAGTATCGCACCATTAAATAGCCTATCCCGCTATTCTGCGTGGGTTGCCACTGTGGGTTGAAGTGTGAAGCACCTGCTAATTCCCTTCCTAGCTGAAGCCCAGAGAAATTGCCAAGATGGCGGGCATACCAACAATGAGACAGAGACGTATTCGGAAATTCCCTGGGCAAGGCCCTTCCCTTAATCTTGCGCGATAGGATAGGCGAACATGGCAGGTGCATCTTTCATATATTGACTTCAGTTCTTTAGGGACTTCTGGGATCATAAACATTGCAGATGGCCATACTCCATTGAAAAGACCCATCACTGTAGCTAATCTCTGCATTGGCTGTTTATCTGCCCAAATGCGTGCAAGCTGACGATGTACACCACCCCATGTCAACTTGTGAAATTATGCCCAAATTTGGCTCACATCGTCAGTAGCACGATGTAGATGGGTACTTTCAATGTCTTTTGATGCGCACATATAGAATATACGTTGTGAAACAACCATCTATGTATATGTAGCTGGGAGATAGCCCAGACCGGAGTTCAAAAAGTGTAATTATTTCAGACTTTGAGTAGCGAGGAATGCATCGGCACCCTTGAGCTTAACTGGGAGGAGCGCACTCATTAGTGGCGCCAGACAAGCACCGGAATCATCATTGGTGACGGACTTCGCCCCGGTCCTTGTATTTTCATATGATGTACGTGCGTTGTGCCCTAATATCTACGGTTGAAAGAGAATTGAGAGGCGAGAGTGAAAGAATGGTGCTTACACCAGACAGATAGTTTAAGCATTCACAACCGGGGACTTTACCGTTCGCTTCATGAAATCTTGCTAATGAAACTGGGATACCCAAGTATGCTTAAACATTCTTCGATAATACAACGTCGACTTGCCCGATTGTCTGAAGCGAGCACCTTTGCTATATAGCCCTTTACCATAGGGCCTAGGTGCATCAAGTAAGGCACTGGGCCCTCAGTTTACTTCCAACGCTCAGCTGGGCTGATGGATATACTCTAATTGTATGTAGATCGGATCATCGTGACCACGTATTGGAAAGGTCGCCTAAATAAGAACTTTCAATTAGCGCAATACTGCATCCGTGCTGCCCTGTGAATAATTGATTGCTCCGGCTTAGCAAAAGCCAAGTTACGGCGTGGGCCTTCCAGGGGCGTACTTGTGCTCTCTCTTGACAATTGATATGGCTCTTGACGTTTGTTTCTGTACTAAGACTATATACTGATATGTCCTGACCTAACTATCTGGCTTATCAGGCTACTATTGATATAGGAGCGCGCTTGGCCGATGATATTCATTATCAATTAGACCATATAAGGTAGATATGTCCTATAATATACCCTGAATACAGTGGTTCAACAGTGTGAATCCCCCGTTCATCCTTGGACCTTGCTCGACACACCGCTACCAAAAAGCAGGTCTGTCCTCGTCTCTCGATCCCAGACCTTCACTCCATCGCTCTTCCTCTTGAAGTACAGAATTCGATGCATGGGGATAAACGCTTCGTCCGTCAGATCTGCCTTCCATTGCCCCACTGGCATCTCCCTCTCCCCAAGGAAGCGATCATCATAACCGACAATGTAATCCTCAATATCAAACTCCGCATCCCAACGAAGTCGGTTTAGGACATCACTAGCAGACCGTAGCTTTGTCCCTTCGGGCATCGCAACGGCCTTCGCCCCACGGATCGGCATTGTCCGCTGGCGTGGTTGCGCCAGGTCTTCATCCTCGTCATCCTCAAGATCAATTTCATCGTCATCGTCATCGAATGACGCTTCATCGTAAGCTGCATTTCCCCAGTTGGAACTATCGACCCGAAGATCGCTGAGTGCAGAGGGCTGGACTAGGCTGACGTCAACCCAGCTAGAGGAAACGTCAAAGTAGTTCTCGTCTTCACGGATTTGCGCCGCAAAGGTATTTAGCACAGCCAGGAGAGAGATCTGGGCCGATTGTTGGTCGGCATCGCTTAATGGGCTCGCCCCAGGCGTATTTTGCCTTGCCAGACCGATCAAGTAGCAGCCTTGATATTCTTTAGTGGTCTCGTCCACTTCCTCCATATCTGTAAACCGAGCCGGCCAGATCCGGGCGTGGATATCGGGGAACCTTCGATGAATATCTGTTTATGTTTAGCTTATGGCCATGGAGGACGTATAAAGAATGTAACTCACCAACGAGAAGCGACACGCACCGCCACTCCAGCCACCCAACAAGCATTCTCCCCTTTGTCGCTGCACCGCCCCAGTATTGGACGTTGACCTTTGCATAGCTCCGATACGATGTAAGGAATTCCTCTGCACCGGTGGAATTTTCAATAGACCCAGCCAACTGCTCCCAGGTAACGTCCGGTTTTGACAGGAGGTGATCTGCCCGTTGAAACTCTTGCACAAGTGTCCTTGTCGATGGGATAGAAGCTGCACGCGCAACATTGACCTTCGGTTGGTGCTGGCTAAGGATCACCAAAGGCTCCCTTTCAGGTCGGAAGTATCGCGGTGGCGACTTGTAGAAGCTGGGATCATAGACGACATTTCTCTCCCAGTCGAACTTTGCATAGTGCTTGAAGAACGTGGTGATGATGTCCGCTGATGAGATGGTGCCGGCCTGACGGAATGAGAGAGTACAAATACGCGCCAGGAGCAAGGTAATGTGAATACCCCCTAGATAGCCCAGCTTGGACGAGTAGATCCCGCGCCTCTGGGCCCATATTTTAATAAACCGATAGGCTAGACGAAAGGACGCTAGGTCTGGAATTGTTCGTTGCAGATAGTGCATGTCGCGCAGGGAGTTGAGCTTGAGCAACGATTGCATAGGGAGGTCAAAGGTGGAGTCACCTGCAGGGAGCTCTAAGGCATGTGGCCAGCTATAGACTGCGTTAGCTACCATGATGGGTGAGGGGGCCTATGTGCTGAGGTAGGATTTACCTTTCAGCAACACGAGTTGCTGCACAATACTGCAGATCAACGCGCACACCACGAACTTCCAACTCCAACATCGTTCCGGATGCTGCCTTCACCTTGCGGAGAAGCACAACTTCACCGTCCATCGCTCTCCGTAGCTTCGCAATGATAAGGGCGAAGAATGTCCGGGGGCTGACTTGTCCGATGACCAAAATATCCATATCGGACGAGCTGTTCCACACGCCGAAGCCATATGAGCCAACAGGTACAACTGCAAATAACAGATCTAACCTGGTATCGGCTGGGAGATTGGCACCACGCTGGCTGACGAGCTGTTTGATCAGCTCGAAAGCCTCTTTCCGCTGAGTAATGTCCGCATCAGATGGGAAGGCTTGATGGTCTTTCAGGTAGTTCTTCAAGTCGTTGACGCCGCCAAGACTCGACGGTGCCTTTTCAACTGTGATGGAGGCTATTTCACTTCCCTGACTTTCAGAACGAGGGCCGCCATCTAACTTGAGTGTTGTTCTCACTCCCCAATGATCACTTGCAAGCTGGCGTTCTCCCCCACTGGGGAATCCGAATAGGTTATATGAAAGAACTTCAAATTCTTCGCCGCGAATGAGAACTCGATCGTATCGTTGAGGCCGACTGTGAAAGCTTTGTCCCGTGATCCGTGCGGCGTGTTCGTTTTCAGTTGGGTCATATGTTGCGCCCTCCTCGCCTTCATACAATGTTCCGAGATCTAACCCACTCTGCGGATGTCCTAGGCCACTACTGACTCCACGACTAGCACGACTAGCGTAGTAACAATCCGAGAGACCGACCTCAGTTAACATACCGTCTAAAGATGCCAGCACCGACGCGCCCTGCGCGGAGATCGACTTCCGCTTCAATGCAGTATCGATGGTGTAAGACGAGGTCGCAATATTGAAATCCCCAGCGACCACCCAGTGGTTGTTTGGATATTTACCGGACAGATATTTGAGTACCGTTTGAAGTTGGGAGCGTTTCGCCATGATAGAACTATCAATGAGACCACAGCTCAGGTGTAAACCTGTCACAACGAGAGGGAGGAATTTAGAATCGTGAAAGGTGCCCAAGTCCTCTAGCTGAAGTACGACTGCGCCTTTATGCCGTTTATCGAACGGTAGCCATTTCCACCGGAACTGCCAACGGCTGAGCACGACGATGTTTCGGAGGCTGTTCAGCGGACCGATTTCAGCCTGGTCGGGTGGTCCATGGGTTGCGAAGGGGTAACGGACGCGGATATCCTTGTCTTGGAGAAGGAAGGACAAGAAGCCATCATTTACCTCCTGTAGGATGAGAATATCTGCAGTTGCAGCGTCGGAGAGCAGATTATGGAGGAGTAGGGGATACCTCTCCGTCGGAGGCGGATGGGGAGATTCGACTAGGACGTTGTATGAGGCAACAGTCATTGATGATTCTATTTGCCTGCCTGCTGTTGGCTGTGAGCCTGACTTTGGGATAGCGTTCCATTTCCCTTCTTGGCCATTATCCTCGCCAAGTGAGAATTGAAATGTAGTTTCCGGGTGGGCCGGCAACGAGGACAGCGAGGAATATTCAAGAGCTTGAGGGCTAGGTGACGATGTACCAGATAGGGAAATAGCTCCCCAAACCACCATTGGGCTGGAAGCAGTATCCAACCCTTGAGATCGGTCACGGATGAGAATTACTAGTTCTTCCACCTCCCACTCAACGGCGGGAATCAAGCCGACTTTCTCTAGTAAGAATTGTCTCTCCGCCAAATCACCTGCCTCGCTCTGACCCACCGTGAGATGCAGCTGGCCAGAGGCCCCTGCCTGACCACCGAGAGCATCTACAATATCTCCTTGTAGCTGTGTTAGGGCGTTGAATCCGTCGCTTCCACTATCCGTGAGATAAACTGTGTTACTGCGCCTGTGGGCAAAGAAGTCTGCTTTATCGAACCGTAGACGGATAGGATCAGTTTCTTTCCTCTTGCTTAACAGTGATTGTAGCAGTTTGGAAGCTTGGGGCAGTGCCTCTGAAGGCACAAACGGGTAAATCAGATTGGCATGTGGTGGCCATCTTCCATGTGCTTTGTCATATAATGCTCGTAGACGGTCAATATCTCCGGTTAAATGCGCCGGAGGAACCACACATAGGGCTGTTTCGTATGACGTCAGGGGTATAGCTCGTTTTTCCTCGTTAGACGCCATGGGTATCGTAGACTATCTTAAAACACGCTCAAAGATGCCAAGAAGAATGCTGAACCGGACTGCTAAACTGAACTGCTGAACGAAAAAGTAAAGTATCACAACTCGATTTGCTGTTGAACCGAAGACAAGAAACCCGTTCCTGTCAAGAGATATTTATTTAAGCTCATGGAAGCTCTGTTTGCGTGGAGAGGGCAGAGTTACGGAGTCTGGAAACAGTCTCCACTGCAGAGCCAGCCATTCATCCCAGGATGACTGAACGTGACTCACGGCAGTGGCGGTGCGCTAATACGAGTGAGGAGCTTCCCCACATTGAGTCACGACGCAAATCCTACCCTAAGTTATGTCCACCTAGGTTTAGCTCATTTCTATAAACAGTATCCCGGTGCTATGTACAAGCTTGCATATTGAGTTTTCTTGTCGGCTTAGGGAAAGCCAATTCATATACCTCCGTTGAGCAACGTAATACCTGGGGCTCGTGCTGACCTTGCCAGCATTCACTTGCATGTCCAAATTTTAAGCAGTTAGAAAAGGGTCCCGGCGCCTATCTTGTAACATCGCTCACGGTCGCAAGTGCCAAGCCAAGGTTTCAATATTGAGGCGTATCTAATAGAGATGCTATCTTGTACAGGTAATATTTTCTTTCTTTATTATTGTGTAGGGCTAGCTGTATGCTGTTTTTGTTTATAACAGTCGCGTCTTGCATACCTCATCAGTAATTTTCCTTACCTTCCCCTACGGTATTGCGTTGGCCACAGTTCCTAATACGCGTGTGATTTTTATTATCAGACTCGCATGATTATATGAATAGTAGACCAGTAGATCGCATTCCAGTCTTCCGACCGTGTACGCATTAGATAGCGTGTTGGTTTTATCTATTTATGCTGAAGCAAGTTTGTCGCTGACTATCTGTACTGAGCATCAATTGTAACATGCCCTTGAGAAAGTCAATTAAAAGAGAAACTGCAGTGTCTGGCATATCATCAGGCCCTCGAAATGGTGTTGTCGTGCCATTATTCAGTTTCAAGACTTGTGGATTCCATGTTCAGATAAATATGTAGGGCCACACTAAAGATTCCAACAGATAGGAACTCTCAACAAAGTTCGAAACTCGATGACGTGTGCCGTACCCAGTAGGATCTCGCTAACCAAAGGTTTAGATCTCCAAATAGCTATATAGTTGACCAATCTTCATTGAAAAATGTAGGAAGGAAACTCGTCATTCACCTTGGAAGCTGACCTCCGAGGTCCATACTGTATAGAGGTCATATATGAATTTTACATAATGAGAGCACCACCCGGTCAAGAATTCCAACGGCCCCTTTCAGGCTATCGAATGCAGGTACTGCCATCGGTGTACTAAGGCCTTCAATGTCTACATTGCTGGCCAGTGTGTCGAAACTACGAGCAGCATCCTCGAGAAACTCAGTATGCACCTCAACACCAAGCTTCTTCAGTACACGAGCAGCCACTCGAATCCTAGGTAAGAGGATGAGACCTGACAATAAGCTCGGAGTGTGAAGCTGATGCATAGATCTCAGCAGCTGAGCAAGGCAGTAGTTGGCAGCTTGCGTTTGGGCTTGCCTTCTGGAATAAATCCCTTGGTGGTTGTACTCCGACCATCCACCGACGGGGGCCTTCAGTGGCACGCACCGATGATAATTACCATTAGCATTGCCTCAGGTACAAGATGTTGCGAAGCATGGCTTAGCCTGGGTTGGCACATTACCACAACATAAGGCCAGTCTCTTCCAACCTTGATGATGTTAGTGCTTGACATAACAACATTCACTGCTCAACAGTATCGGCTGATAACTCCTTGCGGAGCACTGACGTTGCCCATCAATCAGGTTCCGACTTAGTATGCAATGACGAGCGTCGCCAACACTCTGCCATGTTAGGTGGAGTAGCCTACGTAAGGAAAGCTAGCGGAATTCATATTCCTCGAGCCAAGAAGAGACCCAACTATCTCCCATGTCACTTGAAGGAACAAAACCTGGTTTACCTCGCGCCTAATAATAAATGAGTGCCAGAACATCCGCCTCTTCTCTAGGATCATACTACTCAGAACAGATATTGGAATGTGTCACTTTGTGTATTTGGCTACAAAAGACTAACTGATCGCTGACACTAAAAGACAAATGATACTACAACAGGAGGGCTTTGCGTGAGTGAAGAGTACCGACGGTACCACTAATGGTTTCCTTCACCGTGCTCCTGCTGGCCCTTTCCCTGGTCCTTTCCTTCACCATGCTCCTCCTTTCCCTTGCCTTGGTCCTTTCCCTCGTCGTGCTCCTTCTCGCCTTTGCCCTCATCCTTCCCATGACCCTGTTCCTGCTTTCCCTTGCCCTGATCCTTGCTCTCACCGTGCTCCTCCTTGCCCTTGCCCTGATCCTTGCTCTCGTCGTGTCCCTGCTCGCCCTTGTTATCCTTCACTTCGACATGGCCCTGTGGCTCGTCATGGTCGATAGGGCCATGGCCATGGCAGCTCGGAATCTTGTGCTCGTAATCACAGATGTTCAAGCGAGAGTCGTATGCCGTTCCGGGTCCACAGGTCTTGTGGACCGCGATGCCACCAGAACCGCACTCGAAGAAGCTATGGCAATCCTTCGCGTCAGGCCATCTGCCTCCGGTCTCACAGCTGGGGCGAGCGGCGGCAGTGACTGCCAAGAGGGAGGCGGCAAAGATAGCCAGGGATTTGGTGGTGAACTGCATCTTGACGCTGCACGGAATCGGGCTGTCAGTAATTGCAGCGACGGAGTATAACCATTCGATCAATTCTGATGATGCGGAAGTACGTACGTTAAATACGGGATGGTGTTGTCACGTTGCAATAGATGGCCTCTGGAAGAGTGGGCGGTGGATGGAAGATTAGGGCAGGGTTGGCGCTGATGTCCTGTTGTCGAATTGACTGGATGATTGTTGATGATACGATCATTAAAGCTGGAGATGACCCCGGCTTTTATAGATTTGTGCCGCTATACAAGTTTTGCTATTTCAAGGGATGTACAGGAGGTGCATTCTTGGCTCCACCCCTGAATACCAGGATGCTTCCCCTGCCACCTAAGGGGGGACAATTCCGAGCATCCTGTAACTAGAATGTGATGGAAATGGACGTTAGCAGTCGTAGGTATGAAGGACCAACGAGTCTTGCTGGTTTCAATTCCCGGGGTCAAGATAGAAGCTCGGTTGCGAACCCTAGCTTCGGTACTTCCCTTCCCCAGTTCTGTGCGGGGGACGCTCGGCAATGCCGCATTTTTCCGGTTTCACAATGACAGCCGAGTTCTCCCTTGCCAGCCTCTCGTTGTCCTCGCTATGCTTGCTAACTCGTGATGTTTTCGGTGCCCTAGGATGTGTTTGCAGTTAACGAGATGCAGTTCGCACCACGAGCCAGCTTTCACATGAACCTACTATCACCCTAGCTGCTTATCTGTTCGGGGCATATACGTCTTCGAAGACGGGAAACAGCTCAAGAGCTCTCCACTGTAGTATTCTTACTCAGCACGGAATATTAAGAATCGAGAAGCTTGAGCGCGGGATAAAGTTAAACGGAAGTCTGGCCATACAGAGAACTGGGAAATAGAACGTGCGGGAGATTTTCACTCTATTGAAAGAATGCAGGTTCTGGAAATGTTGCATAAACCTTGTGCTTCGCTTATGCCGCTGAGACTTTTGTTCCGATTGAGTTTCCCCCCTTTTTTTGACTTGACAGTCTTTGCTCCTCGTGAGCTTGTTGAAAGGTTTATAAGCAAATAATCTATGGTCATTATCCGCATTGGATTTACTTGGGGAATAGAAGTAGAGAACTGAATGGAACTATGTACAATTCGGATTGTGTTAGCTAGGGAGAATCGATTATATAAACACTCGGTATAGTCCATGTGTCAAATTCTACGGTAGATTTATGTATGCCCTGCGGGCTGCCTCCCTGGAATGGCTGGGGTGATTACTTTTCCTTCATCTCACCTGACCCTGTCTTCGCCAAGGGAGATTCGAGCATTGCTCCAGCCCAGAATGCATATTGAATTCAGTGCGATTGGGCATTGGGGTTGCAAACCAGGTCTAGAGCTATCAACAGATCAATTGGGAAGTGTTCTGTAATGTTTTGAAAAGCGCGCTGCGCGGAATGCGGAACCGACGCGCGCTCTCTGAATATAGGAAGGGGATATTTTTCACAGTCAGCAACTCCTGGAGAGTCAATGGGCACAGGCATTTTCAGTTATTGCATAAGCGAGATTCAGCATGACCCAGTGGTCCAGGCCCAGAGCTAAACGAGCAGAGTTGAGGATAACTGGAGGTTCTCGACTGTTCTACATGAAAATCATACTCATGTGGAATGACTGGTGGGGAATGCATAACACGTCAATCGATCCCAGGTTTCTTTTGATAGCGAATGGGGGCTCATCACAATCGTACATTTGGCGGGGCATATTATAATGCGCAGAACTAATAAGTGACCTTATGATAATGGATGCCAATTGTATGCTGTGAGAGAAGCAAGTAGAGAAAGGTTGAGTGCAATCTGTTAGACTAGTTGTCATATCAGGGCTTGGGGGACGGCTGTGTGATTCATTTCTTCCCTATATATGCAGACGTCATATTATAGAGGTACGTCTATCTGCAGTGCGCGATGTTGGTAATAGCGTCATGGTTGTATTTCCAATTTCTAGATACTACAAGGATAGAACATCTTTCTTGCACGTCACGCCTTGGATAAAACGGAACACGGAGCAGTGAAGGCCAAGATATTCGCGTGCAGGTTTATACAGTCTTAGAATAATTATTTATTGCAAACGCTATGGTACACAGTAAATATGGACAGAGGCAGAGGTGCATTGAGTTGAGTGCCTGAGAGATGTAGGTGGTGTGTATATTGTATGTTATTGAGGCACTGGCAGAATAATATATTCACTGAGGCTAGGTAACTTGTCATTGGATATTTATCTACTTCGACTACTCCGTAAAGGAAGCTCAATTACGTTCGATTTATTGCATGCGTATGTATGACATATGTTGTGGGCCCTATCTCGGTGGACTTCAACAAAATATATATCCAACAGCAGCGCGGGTGAAGATGCCAGCCTAACATCTTCCAATGAACTAGCAGCCATCAAAGGGCAACACACGATGTTACAGAGAGATCTATGACTTGCATTAGTTGCCTTTACTTTTAAGGCAAAAAATAAAAAGAAAGACTCGAAATAGAGCCGACGGAGGATCGGGAGATACAACATGGCTTGAAAAAATAGATAGGTCTTCCGAGTTATATTCCGTTTTCTTGATCGTCTCTGAAATCGCGAGCTTCAAACACACCCACGTATATCGTACATTTACCTTGTATTGTCCATTCGATAAAAGTTGGGAGTCTAGCTAGGTAATATTGCTTGGGGCATGGTTACTCTACCACATAAGCTGGCTGCCCACCAGCCTATATAGACCCCGAAGCATATAGAGATACACATCCTAAGTTATTATGTTCCGATTCTAATATTGCTTCTAGAGAATCGATAACACCTTCAATTCTCCTCATACTAAGCATCCTGCCGATCACTGACCACCAGAGTAGTTATACTGAAGACGTACAGCTGAATAAACAAATCACACGCGATTGCACGCGTCCCGCTTGTGTATCGATTGCATCACCCCCCGAGGCAGGCGGTGGCAGATTTATAATGTGCTGCATATGTCCTAAAGGTTTTGCGAATGAGATGAGGTATTCGAAAGAAGACAAAAAAAAACATCAGGCAGTTAATGTGACGTGGCAATGCCGCTCATGTTACCTCTTATGCAGATGTAAACCCCTCTGGCCAATGGCAAAGTTAGAGTCCGCGAGTAAGGCCGACACATCGAAAAGAATGGAGTGAGTGAGGCTGGCTGAGTCGCGGGATCGGCAGTGTTGGACTGGAATCGTTGTGTCAGTGAAATGTTTTGGGAGCAGCACGTGCAGTCCCAGCCACTCACTGATTGCCCAGTGAGCACGCACCGACAGTTGCGGTCCCCGGACACTCACAGACCTAGCACCGGCTCTCTAAACCGTGGAGAGACTAACGTTGCTCCAGTCTATCAACCCACAAGTTCCCGAGGGCATCACAAAGACAGGCTATCTTCTTCTACTGCCGAGCAAGCAATCCACCCGGAGGTTTCTGCTGGTTCTTCCGGATTGATGTCTTCGTGGTGGTCTAGAAGCAGCTTTACGAGATCACGATGACCACGCAGGGGAGCGATAATACCGGTTCCACCCTTCAGTAATTCTGTTGCCCGCTTCCTGGAACTCCGCGGCTTGGCCGCGACGCTCAGGGGCGATCGTGCCCCGAATTGATGGCCTATTGAGGCTCTTGAGGTACGCTTTCTTGGCCTTGGCTTTGTAGCGGGCTGGATCTTTTTTGGCTGCGGCTTGTAGCGCGTCAACCTCTTTGTGGAGCGATCCATTTCGGGCCAGGCAGGCAAGCAGTGGTTCCGGATCACCGGTGAGTTTGTTGTATGCTTGTAGGTAATCTTCATCATTGTCTTCAGGCCGGTCCCACATGAAATCAGCCATGAGGCGATACAATCCCGCATTTAAGTCGCGAGACCGGCCTTTAGTCAGGGCAGACTCGAGCCGGGCGACGAGACCAGTCATGCGCCTAGTTCCCTCGCGATAGTCTCTGCTATCGGAAATCCGCTGCGCGGCCTTCTTCACCAGCGATAAGACAGGATGGCGTGGGTTGAGTAAGTGCTGGGAAATCTCCCCCGCAAATTCGTTTGTGTTGATGCAATGGAGCGCTAAATCGAGATAGGTCTCTTTGACAGGTGACAAGGTGAGGGTTGGATGCAACTCAGAGTATCTCCAATTCCCCTCGGTCGTTAGACTGCCGTACGACCGACGCATATCATACGTACACTGCGCCGTAGTCATCATCGACAAAGGCCTCTCGGCGCGTAGCTTCCTGAGCCCCGCCTCGCGCACAGTTCTCACTGCATCCTCGTTCTTTGCGACGTCGTCGCATGTAACCACCGCTTCTTCCTCTCCGGGCTCGTCAGGCCATTCTCCAAGGGCATACATAGCCTGATGCCACTCGCAGCTTTCTCCATGGAGCCTAAGGGTGAAGCCATCGAAATGACCCTGATATTTGACGTACTTTATTTCGCAATGTATGGCTTGGCCGCCTGCGGGCCGTGCAGCGCACTCATGGTGAGACTTGGAGCAAGTGCTTCCTCGCGGCTGCAGATCTTTGCAACATTAAGTTCCAGCACGCCGTGCGCCTTTTGCGGCTCCTTGTTGGCTAAATAGATGCGAGCTTTCGCGGCACGGTGCTTGGAGCGATCGATTTTGCTGACATGTACGCCATGCAGATACACCACGAGCTTGTTGCAGGCTAGCACTTCGTCCCACCTACTATGTCTGAACGCATCGTTCGCCAAGGCCTCGCACAGCCTGGCGTCCGTTGGGAGCACGCCCTGGCCGACGGCTAAGAGAACTTCCGCGTCCTCCACCAAACCGCGGTCGACGAGCGCCACGTCGAACCGATGCGGATGCGCATACCATGGTGACATGGGGGGCTCCCTCGGATACGACAGTCTGGTAATTCTCCAGCGTCTCTCGGCAGGCCCGTAGAGTTTGCAGATGCTGATTCAACGTACTTGCTGCGTCGGGAGTCATTGTGAGTGTCGCAGCGTGCTCTAGCCAACGCCCGCCCGCCAATGTGTTGTGCAGCGTCGTATGAGGGCAACTCTTGAGTGCTTGCTAATCGACGAGCCTTGCGCCAAAATGCAGCGCGTAAGAACTTTCGCTGGAACCGACATAGTCGCGCTCAAAGTCCTGCAGCAAGGTGGCGTACCCTTGATAGGCTGAACAAGCGCAAGAAAGGAGCCATCGATGCCCTCCCGTGGGGCGCTGAGCCAGGTTGGCTAGGTAAACCGCCGCTGGCATGTGTTGAGTTTGCGCCAAAAAAGCACTCAGGCGTTGCCTAACAGAGGCGGTATGGGGGACGTTCTGCTCACGCACGAGATACTCCGCTCCAATCTATTCCCCCCCCACCCAGCAAGATTTCTTATGATATCAGGACCCACTTATGTCTTTATTGGATGTCAGCGGATATGCTGCCTATAACGATCGATGACAATACTCTAGACCCAGCCTCGCCTGAGCTAGGGGTACGGAGTGCGTATGAGCATAACGTAAAGAATGCGGCTACATCGAATGATATCCTGATCCAGACAAAGCACCTCCCCTTCAATAGGAAGAGAAAGAGGCCACATCATTCTTATGCAACGACAAAGTCCCACCTGACCCGAAAAGAAAAGAAGACACTGGGGAGATTAGGAGTTGCTTTTCCAGGGGTACGTCTCGGAGCATGCTTATCTGTCCCGTTTCACGCCGACAGCCTTACGCCATATCTGGGATCTTGAGTTCGTCGTGTGAGCGAGATCCGAGTACATCATTCTTCGGATCAGTGGAATCTAATACGCACGGTTGCAAGGCTCTTACAACAAGAGAATAGAGGGGCAGGTAGAAAGATTCCTCGTCCGAGGTCTACGGCAAAGATACGCAGGGCTATACCTGCCAAGAGCAAAAGGTAACACCCTGTCATATCCACCTACTGGTATTTCAAAACTGCTAGTCGGAGGAAATGGAAACTAAATTCATACAACACTGCCATGGAACCAGGAGTCTTTCCCGAGACAGGTTGTTGGTTGCTAGAAAGCCCTACACACTAGCTTAAGGGGGTCTCCACTCAGATATAGATTGCCCTGTGGCGTTTAGGATCCCAGCCTTGCTTTAATTGCTCCCGTGACAAGGCAGCGAATTATAAATGCGAGCAAAACTAACAGCGGGGAATCTCCATGATACTGCATACGATATAATAAATCTAAAAACCAATAAATTCAACTGCGGGGTGGCCGCTAAAAACCGCTGTCAGCCGTAGCCGCCGCTGATATATCAAGAACCTATCAGGTCGGTGTTCAATCAACCATCCTTACTACGTTACATCGGCCAGAATATGGAATTGCACTACTCTGTTCACACAAAGCATTGATCGTTCTCCGTCGACCTTACTCGTATGCGAGCACAGCTGTCCTCGACTCTCTCCCTGTCTTTATATTGAAGATTGCCTAGGTACCAACATTATACCAGAGCGTTCCCCCAAATTGGTCAACATGGAGCAAGAGTCCTCATCCGATTCCGAAAATGCACCCTTGTTACAAAACACAGAGAGAAGGTCGAGTCGACCTTCCTCAAGCAGAATAGATGCGTACTTCTGGTCAGAAATCCTCAATGTCTTCAGCTACTTAAAGGCAGCTATGGCAGAGATTCTTTCTGTAATATTTCTCTACCAGCCAGCAAAGCAGTCAAGGTATGAACAGAATATCCACCTAACATAATTTCCGGAGTGGCATACTGAAAGACATACGCAACAGTCAATCCACACCTCAGTCATCCTCTCCAGATCCGTCAACCGCCATGAAAGTCCTGAACCCCCTTTTCTTCATTTTAGCCGCGTCCAGGGTGGTGCGCGTGCTTCCAGCGGAAGAGAATTTGCCCCTAAGTGGAGAGATTGCAGTCTCTGATTCAAGTTCCTTGGAAGCGCTGGGACAGAGCATGAATGAGGAGCATCGCACTCTTATAGCCCTTGAAAAGAGAGCAACGTGCGAAACAGTGAATAAGGTTATTAGAAGAATTGGCCACAACCGGCATAAGTAAGTCTGACAGTATCGTTCACAGAATGAATCTGACCAGTCATTGTCTTTCATAGGCTTGCCTATATTGTCTATGGCAGCGGGCTTGCGTGGGCGATATGTGGGCTCACCGGGCATGATGAGTGCGACAAGGTTGGAGGAGCCGTCCTGTTCACCATGGGTCTCGTCTTCACTGCCGCAGCAGACTACTCAGGCGCAGACCCTGTTCCGGTGCCAGAGCTACCTGGATCCATGAAAGTACCCAGTTATCAGGCGTCCTTGACTGCTGCGTTGTCACAGAGTGACCTCGAGTACACAGCCATCGACGCAGCACCGCTACAGGAAGCTCCCGAAGAGCACAGCGAAGACGAACCTCATCTGCTCGAGCGGTTCCTGATCTGGGGCTTGCGACCGGTCAGCAATGCTACTGCTCAGAGTGACACTGCCGGCCAAGACATCTTTGTGCACCATTACGACAACGGCGGAACTGTACTTCACCTCCCTATCGGCAGGGAGAGTCTGTCGGCGGAAAACCTCAATAAAAGATATGACCATCCTGGTCTCAAGATCTCTTTTACTACGCGCCGGGTGTCTAAGATGTCGAGACAGCATCAAACTGATATGGCCAGCGGGATCGCGAGCATGTGGGAATACTATGCCAGAACCACTCCCATGAACGAGTATATCGGGTTTGTAGAGACAGGTCACCATGCCAATTTCTACTTTCGCATTATCCCTGAGCTAAAGGGCTTTGGCCCAAATTATGAAAGTGTTGATGTGTGTGGTGGTATGGCTGGAATGCTCTAAGTGTTGCTTTTGCTTTTTGTTGTATTTCCCCCCCTTCAGTGGTAGGGGTGATAGGGGCGATGTTAGTCAAATCGAGGGGGTTTTATGGAGACTTAGTTCGACAGTAGTAATCTACGCCCTCAATTGATGGAGAGCATAGGCTTGGCTCTAGAGGTTTTAGTTAACCTGCCCTTCCAACTATAGTCAGCCTAGCAGGCAGCTTAGCTGAGCGATCAGGGAGCGCTCAGTACACGCACTTCGGCCTTGGCCCACGCCCCGCGACCGAATTCCTGGATAATTTTTTTTAAAAAAAGAAAAAAGAGACTTTGCTAGTCGACACTGCCAGTCATTCATAATGAGGAAGGTTTCAATGGCGGGGTCGATAGTCGTTCGATAGGTGCCTGACATCAAACTTGATGTCGCCGTTGGTTCGATGGCCACGGCCGATCGGCGTCATCATTTATTTCACATAGACTTCGAGCTGAACTCAGACAAACTTGAACCCAATCTAAACCCAACCTATTATGGCCCGAGGTTGGGGTTTGGGTCGAATTCTCTAACCCACATAGGTTTTGCGTACCCAAAGGTCAACCCATCATGGGCTCTGCCGAAACCTAATTTCATAGTAGAAAGCGATAAATAGGCCGCATGAGGCCAACAGAACAAGAAGTCCCCCTGATCATACTACTTGGTTTTTGATCTACCCTGTATTCCAAGGTGTCCGAAGGATGGCCAGAACGGAAGAGAAGAAAAGGTACAATGGGCAAAAGAAATTACCGTAAAGAATCGTCATATGCTAAATACGCCACAGACAGCTCACCCATAAAGACTATACAGTCGCCTGGGTGGTCGTCCTTGAGGTCGAATTGACGCCAGCCATAAAATTACTGGACGACGAGCATGAGCGTCTCCCCCGCAGCGACAAGGATGACAATAACTACATCCTAGGCCAAAGTGGCCAGCACAATGTTGCCATTACCTGCATGCCTTATTGTGGAACCAATGCCGCAGCGCATACAGTAACCAATATGCTACGCACATTCCCAAACATCCGATTTGGCTTATTGGTAGGGATTGGGGGAGGTGTTCCAAGGTCCTCGGAAACGAGTCCTGAGGAAGACATTCGCCTTGGGGACGTTGTGGTATCTACGCCAAAATATGGTCACGGTAAGTGGGCACGACCAAGCCGATTTCTTATAGTTTCTTATACATCTGTTATCGATTTGAAGCTTCGTTTGTATACCAGTGAGCGCTGCCTATCAAGATACTGATCCATCATCATGAAGGCGGCGTAATCCAATACGATATGGGGAGGTGGGAAGGGGATGGTCATTTTAAACCCCAGTCCCATCTGAACAGCCCCCCTAGCCTTCTCCTTAACGCTATTAAGGAATTAGGATCCCGCCACAGTTTGAATAGCGGGAGAATGGATCAGTACATCACTGATGGGAGGACGGAACGTGCGGCATTCCCGGGTCGAGATCAGGATCGACTTTTCAGATCCGACTATGCACATGTATCTGGGAATGGCTGCAAAACATGCGATCGCCAAAAGACAATCACCCGTGGCAAACGACAAAGCGACAAACCTGTTGTGCATGAAGGCCTCATCGCCTCGGGAAATGCTTTGATAAGATCGCCGCAGCATCGAGACAAACTGCGTGAGTCGTGGGATGTCGATTGTTTTGAGATGGAGGCTGCTGGATTGATGAATGATTTTCCATGTCTGGTAATCCGTGGCATTAGTGACTATTGCGATAGCCACAAGAATGATGCATGGCAGCCATATGCGGCTCTAACAGCCGCTGCATACGCGAAGGATCTTCTGGGAGTCATTCAAGGTCATCATGTTATTGCTGAGCCCACAGCGACAGAAAAGGTGAACGCCCCAAAGCAGGACAGTGATTCTAGATTATCTGCACAGGATTTAGCACCTCTGAACGATAGATTGAATATTCTCGAACAACGCCTCCAGACTTGGGATTGGAAATTGGGAAGTATGGTGGACAGGCGCGATAGTTCTGGACAAGTGAGAGAGCTTGGGCATCGGCTCGAAACATTGAATGCACGGCTTGATGGCCTGGAGACGATGATCAGTGGAGCAAACAGCATGCAGTCTAGAGCCAACCAACTAAATGAGCGTGTACTAGAGCTAGAAACGGCGATGGCAAAGGCGACTGGCCGATCGCTGGGCGAGACGATGAGCTCTCTGGACTATAGTAAGTAGTCCCTCTTCCCTTCTTACGCAGACATGAGTCTCCCAATCTGATACTGATGACCATACTACTTATTTAGATCGTCTCGATGTCAGTGAGTATGGTACCGTGGGCCGCATCGAGGCTGGGAGGGCTGTGGTAGTCCGAAAGGGTGGAGGACCGACTCGAATACTTTTCAAGCAACGGTTCGATCGTGTTCCACACGTCCAGATTACACCGGAGCGCTTATCCACTAAAAACTTCAAGAACTTTTGGTTATATCTCTATAATCCCGGATGGCCCTGCGTTGATCAAGAAGGGTTTGAGGTGGGTAGTTTCATTGCTGAGGGCCATCAGATTATCTTCAGATGGTTGGCTGTGGAGATCGTTTGAGCCTGATTAATCCATTTATCCTAAAACCAGCGAACCTATTCAACTATCCCAGAGATAGGAACTATGGCCGTTTACCTATTCCTAATTCACCCACCCCACTTACTGCTTCTACATACCAAAACCAGTTTGTGAATCCCAGTTGCAGCTATTGAGTAATCATTTCAATGTAGTCTATAATGAGAATACAGGGTTTATTGAGTGAAAGCAAGAGTATGATGTACTCTTCTACTGGGCCATAACCTACTGTTACCTACATAAAACTGTGCTCTGTAGAATGACGGTTTCTGGGATGGTATCATCACTGCTGTCATCAAGTAGTTTGAAACCATTGTCGCCAATATTAACGGGCATAGTGTTTTCTGACGAGCCTAGCATAACAGTTGTCATTATCGCACACAAGTCACAGAAACCAAGGATATTGGATTCACTGTTATCCTCCTTCTGATCTTTTGTAACGGTATCCCTCTGGCGCAGTTATGACGTATATTATTGAATTGAATGAAGCCGAAGTTATTGGACAATGCACTCATCTAGCTGAGGATATTCCCACCCCATCTGAGAAGGCGCTAACCACATTCCCGAACATGACTGTGCACGGGCAATATGTCTATCTGTATATCCCCTCCTGGGCAATGATGATGAAGCACAATCAGGAGTGTCGTGGAAGGTTTCTATTACAGCTGACAGAGCCATCATGGCATCCCAGGAGGTCATCCAAACAACCCGTCAAAGAGCAGTATCCTCTATATTGGTCCCTTGCCTGCCGTGTTTATTATCCCCTTCAGTAGGCTGTTCCTTTCCGTAATGGCATTAATCATTATCCTCTTTTCCCCGGGGTGAAGGAGCTCGCAGTCCACTCTGAAATCGCGATGCAAGGGTTATCCATGACACACTGTAAAAGATGGAGTATGAGATGAAGTCGATAGAAATCTGAAACTGCGTCAAATTCAGTAATACCCAGATAAAGGACTAAACAAACAACAAAAACAGAAAATAGGTTGACTATCCAAGCACTTGGCAGGATTCGCAACTAGCGACAAGAACTGGGAGATCAATCTCGACGCCCTAACGAACGAATTCAAACCCTATTCCTAGCATGCATCTGCATCTGCATACGACTCGCAGCATCTGTTTCTACACCGTGAGAGAGACTATGTATAGATGTTTAGCATACTCCCTTTTGAACGGTTGATACTAATATCATACAATATCACTATATTGAACCAATCCCGATGCAACGGGCGTAGGGATATTGGTGTACGGAATATGACACATCCTAGCCAACATGGTACAAGGTTGTATGAGGTTCTCGACAACTGGATGATATGGATACTCAGAGTATTAGCAGCGCGTACGTACATCTAGAATCGATACTAGTTGTATAGCGAGATATGAGGTATTTCTTATGCCGCTCTGACTGCTCATGTAAGCCTCAACTTCTGGTCTCCTTCATTTTTGGAACCTGCCTGATTAGAGATGGGACACTCCAACAACATTAAACGCTGGTATCTACCCAAGTATTCTAGATTCTGGTGAAACAAATAGATACTGACGTGGTAATCATCAATGCTGACCTAACATATGCCTACAACAACCTTCTTCCCCCGTCAAAATATGCAGAAAGCCTGAAGCGTCGGCAGACATCGTACAGCAGCATCTCGTTCTTGTGGTCACTTGACACCACTGTTCCAGTTCTTCAGCACCATAATGTCTTCTTAGCGCAAGAATATCGCGGAAAGTTTAATACAATCTTCAAGCCACATCGCCTGCCAGAGGAGCCGTCGTTCTATATCCATATCCCCAGCCGCTTAAATCCATCAGCGTCCCTTCAAGATACAGACGCTATAGTAGTCCTCGTACCTGTAAACCACCTTGGTGACGAGAGCGACAACATACAAAGCTTCAAGGAATATTGGAATTCTATCGTTACCAGGACTCATAACCAGGTCCAAGAGATCATTGAAAATCGCACTGGTGTTTCCAGCCTGAAACAGAAGATCATACATAAAATAGTTGGCATCTTTGTCGTGCAAAAGTAAATATAACATCAATCGTGGAGCTAGATTTTGTCTCTCGCATTCTTCCTTCAATGTCCTAAGCTTCCGCCCCAGTAATCGACATAGAGATATTCATAACCTATTCTTTGTCGGGGCGAGCACTCATGGCAGAGCAGTGTCGACCTTCCTGGTGCACATCTGTCATTTTTGGATACAAAGACAAGACTTCATTATTTGTATGGAATTTGCCCTATAACATTGATAGGATTTACCCAAGATGCATATTTCTAGACGTAAAAGTGGATATGTATATTGCCTGGTGATAATATACCTGACCATTCTTAAGAGTCGTGATCAGGTATACATAAACTGTGATGAGGCGAACTGAATATGATAAATCCACTAAAAGGGCGTTGATATTAGCTTATGAGAGAGCTTCTAGTCTGTAGCCAATACATTCCATTCAGGAAAATAGGCCTAGATCGGACTCGCTGTATTACATCTTCCATGTATTCCACCCGGTGGGGTCAATAGTGTCATCCTCCCAACTTGGCGAGTCATAGTCTTTCTGAGACCGGATAATCCACTCCCAGCAGCCACCACCATCGTCTTCGATGCCCCAAGCGCCATGCTTCTCATTTATACTATCCGTATCGCCTATCAGGATTAGTGTCTGTCGACGAAGGCTCAAGGGCCACGGGGCAAGGTAGACTCACAGGAATCTACCGCAGACATGAACTTCTTTTTACATTCGTTTCCATAGGTATTAATGCTGCTTAAGGGGGTACATCCGGATTGGTTCTCAGCAGTCCGAACCACCATTCCAATATAGTGATCACCCATTCGAATCGTCGCACCCGTTGCGCTGGCACGAGCCCAACAGAACGAGTCTATCGCTTCTTCAAACTTACTGCGCGGTAGGGCAGTGTCACTGGCTCCCATATGGTCTCTTCGGCACATTCTAATATTTCCTGTGCCATACGGGTGCCAGGACAATTTAACAGGCCCCACTTTAATACTTCCACCAGATGTAGCGGTATCAGCCTTGTTGTTGCCACAGCCGTCAATGGTCTTCAAGAAGTTTTTCTTGCAGATTCTGTTGGGGGATAGGGTTAGTGCATAGGCCACGTTACAGGAGATTAGGGGTAGGTGAGGTATGCATGGGAGGTACAACTGACTCTTCAGACATTGGACGGACCCCATTTTCCTCCCCCGTTGCCGCTTCATCAACCGCATAGCGAATCCAGTTGGACGACGTGCCCCCTGAGTTTAACCTCGGCAGTTGTTGCGATACATCCTTCCCCGGGGGAAGATTGAAGCTCGGCACATTCTTGCAAAATTGCTCTACTCCCTTGAGAATATCATCGCGCAGCACACGTCGCTTGCTATCCTTATCTGAAAAGCATTTAGGTGATTCTGTGCTAACACTCAGGGAATCACCGGTCGTATGTTTCGGCTTGGATGCTGTACAGGAATCCGTTGGTCTATTAACAAAGGGCGGGTATTTGGTTCCTTGCACCTTTGCCCTGGCCTGAGACATCTTATTGAAGATCTTGTTGGCAATGAAGTAGTTCGTGATAGGCATGGGATGAAACCATTTCGCGATTATGTCTGGGATAACTGACCGATCCTTGTGCTCGTCGGAGTCAGATACAGGCTGCGGAGGAAGTCGATTTGAGAACCACATGGAATACCAACGTGGTGTCCAGAGTATGGTTTCAGTGTTCACGGCATGATATTCGTTCACACCCTCATCGCAGAACCGGCCTAACAGTCCCTGGGAATCATCTTCATAGTCAAGGAACGTGTATCCAGCTGCTGTGACCCATTCATCTAACTTTGCATTAAGAGAAAGCACTAGATCGTTCATCTGGGTCCGGAGCTCTTGTGTGAGGTACTGGTGATCCTTGCCAAAGTTTGCCACTGACCAGGTAATATTATTGCAAGCTGTGGTTTCATTGTTGAAAAATGTTCCATAGCCAGTATAGTAAATGGATCCATCCCGTGACAAGTGTTTTCCTGCTTCCTTGAGCAGCCTGTGGATATTGTTCTTAAACTCCTGGCTCTGTAGTACATCTCGTGCGTGGGCCATTGAATCAGCGCAATGGGTTTCTGTGATAACTGAAACCTGGTAGATGCAGTTTTCGACGATATCAGAAAAGCCTAGGTCATTCCCTAGGTTATACCATTAGTGGGAATGCATTGTGTGACTAGGGGAAGGGAACCCACCACCAGCAGAAATGGTGATTAAGTCGTAATCCTTATCAAGCTTCTTGGCTTGCTCCCAGATTGCTGGAGATTCATCCCCTGAGCACGACAAATATGTAAACTCATGAGCGGCAGAGCCACCCATGCGGACATCCCGGTTCATAATACTAGGGTACGACTGGTCGTAACGACTGCATCTAACGTTGTCGTCTCCTGTGAGTACCTCACCAGCCCCAATGCCAGCTGAGTATGAGTCGCCAATAGCTGCAAACTTTTTGATGCCCGAGAAATCATCATACCTCCAATTGAGGAATTCACCATGGCCATCTGACCCGCCGGCCTTGTTGTCTCGCATGATATGAGGAATAGCATGGCCAAGAGATAGAGAGGCATAGAGGGTTACTAGCAACAGGGCTAACCAGGTGCGGCTGGCCATCGTGGAAGAAGGTAATGAAGATATATACAAAGAGTAGCTTGTCTATACAACGGCTCGATGGGTTATTGTCTCCTTATATACATTTGGATAGACAGTAATATTTATATATGTATCTATCGAAAACCAAGATCAAAAATATAATCATTGTTATAGTTTCATCCCCAGCCTCAGCATCAACGCAGACTCCGATGAAGTCTACTCTCCTGTGCCTGGGTCGCTTACTCTACCGGCATACCTTCTGCGGTAGGAAGCACGTAAATTGGTGCACAGGGATTAAATGAGGCTGTAAAGCCAAGAGGCCGGTCATGCATGAGAGGATCTCGGTTCACACGAGCGCGCCAATGGTCTTACCCGGCCCCAAGCTAACGCTGCACACCCAATATGTTACATAAACGAATCCAACAGACTGCCAAGGCTTCAAATTCGGTTTATTTACCACAGATGGGGATTTTAGCTTATGCTCATTAGCGAACTCGTCTATATCATAGTTCTCCCTAGTGCTCTATTTACGTAAACCTGGAGATATCAGCCCTATGGCATGATGGCTGTTCCAATCAACTGCTACAAGTAAATCTCGGGCAGTCCCTGAATGGCACCCAATATCATGTACTTTATTACAGGACTAAATTTGGACCACCAGTGAAGGGGCAGTGAATTGAGCCGCAGTCAGGCCTATCACTTCACACGGAAACACTTGGAAGGGATACCACCTGCTGTCCAAGTTGTAACCCAAGACGCTCCAGTCCTCGTGATACAGCAATCCCGAGGCCAAGGTGAGCTCTCACAACCAATACCCGCTGGTAGAAACCTATGTAACATTGGATCTAGCTTCAGGCGCCCAAGTTCATCCTAGACGGCGGAATACGAGGAAACGGCAATGTGCTCGTGCCTCGGGGTGTTGAGGAGGACGAAGATGAGGTCTCGTCAAATTTTCCCTGCCACACACATACGATAGATGTGGTGGATGCAAAGCCCCGATCCCTGGGGCTATTCTTGGAAGTAATCGGATAGTTTCAGCCTTAGGACTCAGTGATGCTGAAAAACGGTTTAAAACCTAAGGCTTGTTCGCTCCTTTGGTAGAAGGATAATAGGGAAAGCCAGATCAAACCATCACTTCTGTCAGTTGAAGACAATATAGAAGTTCTCCCGTTGCAGTTCCAGTTATCTGTTTCTTTTTTCTATCACAAATCATATCATTCATGGTATACCCCTAATCAGCTGTGTTGTTCTATAATTCCTTTGTCCGGGTTATCTGTTTTCCTCTTGCTAAGTTAAGGGGCCCTCCGTCATGTGGATGCTGAAGACCCTTCTCCTCGTTACCCTCTTCCTGGGATTCTCCAACGCTGTAGACCTACAGGTCTGGCGAGATACCGTGGTCAGATCTGAGAACATAGACGAAGACATTGTTCTCTACAGTGCGAGAGCTACATTCAAGAGCCCACTGAAGAATGCACAGCTAGTTCAGCTAGCAAAGGATGCATACAATGCAATGCAGAGCCAAGCCGAGAAGGATAATATCGAGTCAAAGCTACGACCAAGAGTCATGGTGGCTCTTGCTGTCCACAAAGAAGTTTTCTTGTCGTCGTCGGCGATGGGGCCCCATTGCTGTACGACACAACGAAGAAAAGTGGCGACAAAGGCCAAACTCCGAAGGAGGCACCTCCGGAGCTGATCAGGATGTTTAACCTCTGCAGCCAAAACTTCCTCGGTGTTGCCAAACATCGGTACGAGGCGTCGTGTGGGGACATCAATGCATTTCTTGCGTATTATGTAAGGAACAAGGGAGATGTTCGAAATATGGAGGAGAATGGAAGGCTTGTGGTATGGGGCGTGGGTGCAGATGAGGCTGGGGGAAACGACGAAGCACATATCATGGAGTCATGCTATGATCGAAACGACTTGAAGTTCAACTGTGACTCGGTTTTGGAAGAATTCTATAAAAAGATCGACGTGGTGAAGGATGTTGACCCTGAGCCCTACAATAAAGGGGATCTACAAGGCATTGACGCACAGCCTCATTGGTTTGTCGGCAACACTCCGGCGGGGAATTGCGATGGACCCTTAAACAGCAATGGTGATAAGGAGAAAGCCTCATTACTTGGTCAGAGGAGGTGGGAAAGAAGTGCGAACAGAAACACCAGAATATCATCACCGAGGAATTTACTACTGCTATTGAAGTCGCCAATACGTTGAGCAAGGACTTTAAGAAGACCAAAGTGCCTTACCATCGAACGTTCTTGGACAAGAAGCACCGACACGGAAAGGCCTACGATGAGACCGTGAAAAATGCATACCAGCATATCGGAGAGCTTCTGCAAGGAAAGTCCACCGATTACAAGCTTACCGTTAATTGCAACTTTGCGGCTCGAGGGTGTATAAAGGGTTTTGTGGCATTTGTGAACGAGGACCCTGACAAGAAGGGGGCTACTATGACCTTCTGTCCGCAGGCCTTCGATCCAAAGCCACCAAAAGATGCCCCTGAAAGGTTTGTTGACTCCACTAAGAGCCGCCTTGCCAAGTGCAAATATCAGAAGGATGACAAGGGCCACGACAAGTCCAAGCCCAAGGACGAGAGCCTACGTGGGGATAACATTGTTAACCTTCACCGCTCCCTGTCAATGGTAATCATCCATGAGTGCTGCCATACCACATACGCGATGAAGGGAATAGCAGACGGACCGTAAGAGTTCATATCCCATCTGACGCAGACCAGAGAGATAGCTGACCAACAACCAAATACAGTGGCCAGGACTACGCATACGGCTACACTAGCGCCGTCAAACTCGCAGAAGGCAACTTCGATCGAAATTCACAAGAGGGAAAAATGATGAGAGCTAAGACAGGTCGCCGGGCCCTCTGTAACCCTAAAGGCAATTGGAACGGGGAGGATGGCATCTGTAAGGCGGAACTCAGCTTCCAGAACCCAGACTCGTGGGCGCTTATTGCGGCTGGTGTATGGTTCGAGGAGAAATGCGGCACCCCCATCTTGCTGCCTGAGATTACAACGTAGATTAAACCTAGCCGCAGGGGTAGAGGTGGAGGTAGCTGTTAGCAAGGGTGTGTAGCGCGGTTCAGCATGTGCAGACCTCACAGAATCTATTGAGTGAATCGCTGAGGCTAATAGGGTTAGGGGAAGACATTAGACACTTGCATTGTACATTAATAGACTCCCTGGACTTCATTGGCTGCGAGTTACAAACATTCCTCCTGCATCATTGTGTTTGGTTGTCCTTCATTATAACGTAGGCCTGAAAGATCTCAAACCCCCCCAAAACCTCTTCAGCTGATTTGCTACTGGAGTTGCCTACAAATCGCTGGACTGGCTGAGAGAACGTCTGCTTCTCTGAGTTGGTTCCCCCCACTAGCGTTTCTTGAATACTACGAGATATCGCAAGGCATCCAACGGTGTTAACATCGGACTGCCTGTCTTTAAGTGTCTTTATGCGGCAGACCAACACGCCGAAGGGCGTGTGGGGGCTGCTGACCTAAGAGAAGGATATGGGTGGGGTTGGGATGCTATTTATTATTAACATCTGGCTTTACTGGGTTGGGGCGCCAATCCGACAGAGTAAGCACACCTTTCTTTTTTAGAATCAACGTACATCCCTATGGGTTGGGTTCCAAATCTAGTCCCAGGCAGGTGATCTGCAGGACATATTTAAGACCTGCCACAACCCTCTCTTGGAACATCCCATTCCTTACCTCTTCTCTTGCCAAACACGAAGTCCTTGTATTCCTCGAATCATGGAACACAGCCAGATGGACCCGCATGTGAGATATTCGTCGGTCGATGCAAGGTACGCCAATCAGACAAAGTGACAAGGGAGCAGCGCATTTAATAGTGTACAGGCTCAATACTCCCCGTATCTCAATCTCTCTCGAGTGCCCCGACTATTTTAAAGGTCAACTCGTCCCAGGCTTGCAGGACGGGATTGTAATCAGATTCCACCGAGACCATGATGGCTATGATGAGCGATGTATTTTCCAGTGGTTCTCACGGGCAGATGCGTTTGGACCAGGGGGGCTCCGCCTGTTGCGTCATACGCCAAACGGTGCGACTGAGGAGGTCGAGCTCCCCGCGGACACGGAGGAAATCGACCTCAGTCCGTCAAAAACTATAGAGGATGATCTAGAGCTCGGGCCTGGTGGCAGCTACTGGACGTACGTCGTTATTCCGGATTACTACCGCGCAGCCATGACGCTGGGAGAAAAATACACTTTGGTCTGGCCTGGCAAGAAGATCTCCCGCTGGCGCTGGGGTACCCTTAAGGAGCACCAGGACAAGTCGTGGGATCTATCGTCGAGCCCACTTACGATCCCTGGCGGTCCTTCGGTATCGTTTGATGCGGTCGCTGAGCGACCGACAGAACGGGCAATATCGCCACCGCCGATAGACCCTTCTGAGAGAATGTAAGTCGTTCGAATGATGTTTCTAATGTATTCTCTGTGTTTAACAAGACTGGCGGTGTAGTCCCGGAGCACCGATTCTCAGTACTACCGTGACAGGTCCAAGCCAGGAGCCCATACATGGAAGATTTATGATTTCTCAAAAGGTGACATATCATGGCGTCTTGGGTACGGATGGAGAAATAGAAAAGACAAGGCCTATTATTTTCCGCACATATGCTCTAGTTGTGGAGGGCAGCCGACTTCACCGGCGCTGCGATGATGGTGAATGGCAGGTCAGCGACATTGATGAAGACTGCGGCATAGGGGGCTGGAACCCAGTTGAACCTGAAGATGTTGAAGTGATGGATATCAGCGAAAGCGATCAGTTTGTGAGCCTGCAGCCGGGAGGCTCGTGCACCGTGGCAACATCGTCCTGGTCTGAGGTGATCCCATCGGACAGAGTCGTTGGCGACGTGTTTCGGTATCAGCATAAAGGAGGCATGATTGACTGGTGGGCTTGGGGAAGCGCTGAGGACCACGCAGATACGGTGGTGAGGATCTCTGTTGGGCCGGAATTTGACCCCCCTAGTCAGGAGCCGAAACTGATGGTGCCTGCTTCTAATCTGTTGGACATTACGATTGTGGAATGATCTCTGTTGATTTTATGGAGAACATAGCTGGTCGGGATATCTTCACTCTTACATACCAACATATGGTCCTGAATCTTGTCCCATGCTGCTTTTCGAAAGCAAAGCCTTGGTAAAGAACGTTCTTTCATTGACTGCTGTTGGCCATATTTGAAGGTTGTCTCTACCATCCTACGGTCTGATCCGTATTCTTCTTGGTGGAGGTGACACGACACCTTTCCCCTAGTAAGGGTTTGTGAGGTAATTATAAGATCAATTGTTGATTTCCATGGTCCTGATTCATATGTAATGGTGCCCCTTGGTAGTAGACTTCGTAGTTCCAGTTCCACCATCAGCTCTACAAGCGGCTGTGCTTCTCCGTTGCGGGGGGATAAGTCTGTGACCGGTCAATGGCTAAAACTTTTATATTTGATATTAGACATATAATGCGCTGATTGTCGACGATTGAGAATTAAAATTGACCGACATCCACCCCTAACTATATTTGGGGACATTGCTTCTGGCTGTCTATGCAGAAACAGTTATTATCGTATCAACTTGTCCTCCCTTGCCATTGCTGCCGCTCTATTACCCTCGTGTCGTTATCCAACCCCAGCCCAAACTTACATGTACTCTATATTTCTCTCAGCATTAGCTCTTTGGCCATGACCGCCAACCTTATTTCCCCACACAGAGCCAAATATAGTGCCCCGAATGCAAGGTTAGACCCCGGTTTAACTCAGCCAAGGTTCTTCTCCTCCACCACAAACTCGCAGAAAGTGTCCTATTGACCTTCGATATGTACTCGATCGACACTACGTTCAATGCCCAGTTTCTTGACATGAGCTGCAAGGAGATCTATACCGCTGGCTGGAGCCGGCGCATCCGCAAGAAGGAGAACGAGGATGACTTCTAGTTGACGCATACGAAGCGGTATGCTATCACGGGTGGTAACATCGACGCTGCCATTACTGCGGCTAATGAGGATGAATTCAATGCTGGTGACGCAAAATACGAGGCACAGGTTGAATGGAGTAGCTGGAACTAGATACGCTATAAGCCACAGGAAAGCCGTATCAAAATCTGGGAATGATGGGATGGGTTTGCCAGGGACGAGAGAGTCGTGTTAAGTATTGATTGATAAAGTGGTAGATAAGTTCAACAACTGGAGGTACAGAGAATGGGACACTAGCGTAATATTGGTATGACGAGGTTTAGGACAGGTCCTTGCGAGGCGCTTTACTGGTAAGTGGAAGGATATGAAGCTATACCTTAAGGTCCAGCCCCTCCTCAACTACAGGGGAACAGGGATTGAGTGAATTGTCGAGGCGACTTTCAAGACGAAGAGCCGCACGACAGCCTCACTTGAGCTGGGCCACTTAGCCGACTTTCTGCAAAATACGGGTTAGTTTCTTCCGGAAGACGTGCTAAAGACGTGCCCCATTATGAAGCACATACTGCCATGGGAAGCTTTTGGACCCAGGGGTGATTCATTATCTGGAAGATGCGGCAAATGGTGCTAAAGAAGCCGATATGGTTTGCTGAATATAGCTTAAACTACGTTGAGCGGTGCTGAAAAGAAAGGAGATACATTACTTTTCTTCTGGCAATGCAGGACACCTCTGATACTTTATACTACGCAGATTCTCTCCTTGTGGATTTGAACTAAAATGCTGGATATATTGCTTTTTTTGAGGAACTGCTCTCCTCATTGGCAAGCAGGAGCGCCGATCTTTAACAAGTATTTTCCAGCGTTAACATACATTCCCAGGAGTAACCCCAAAGGGACAACGAGTCTGTGAATGGGAATTTAAACGCACTGAATGTGGAAACGTCAAGAGATGGTAATATCGGATCCTTTACCCATCCTGGCCTTCCGAAACAATAGGTGACAGGAAAAGCCACTTTGACTGCGGGAACTAGCTGGGATTACAGACAGCTCTATCTTTCATATCAACCATGGTTCCAGCCAAATACGCAAATGGCTAGATCTTACCAAGTGCAACCGATCTAGATCTATGATACTTTAACAGAAAGTCAAGTTGCAGTCCTTGACTGGTGACTTTAGTTAAAAGTTTGGGTCAGCATGACCGCGAAAGTTAAACTACGCTTCGACGCAAAGCAGAGTTGAGGTTTGCAATATCCATTGTTTTCATGTGGTTCGGAAAGGGTCCTCGGGCTAGTATGGATTTATACTGCAGTATCAATTATGCAGAAGGGTTGCTACACTGGATAAGGTTAATACGTAGAAAAAGTTCGCAATAGTCTTGCAATCAATATCTATATGAATTTTCTCAATGTGAATTCCTTGCAACCGTTATTCTACTAAGCTGTTATCATTTGCTCCCTCACCAGATATTATAAATACAGTGTAAGAACACATACTTTAAGCATTTAGCCAGGAGAACTTGGCAACTGCTATATTAAGGTTTTATAAACCATAGGTGTTGGATTCAAGATTTTAGTGGTAGATTTAGTAACAATTGCATTGTCATCTTCCTGACACCAGCCTAGGCTACCGTGATGGATTTCAACTGGCGAAGTAAGGACGTGCATGTGATCATACTTCCCCATGATTTATGGCATCCTCATCAACTCTAAGAGCCGCTGGGCTTAGAGCTGACCTTGTATCCCTTGGATGAGATACGATGCAAAAAAGCGGAATGTTGACGTTGAAAGTCCACAGGCAGGAGACCGTGCTCTGGCTAAGTTTATTACAAATAGCAGTGCAGACAAATACCATATGATTTTAATTCGAAGTAATTGAACTAGTGTAAGGCATTTCAATTGCAATTATTGCCTACTGAGATCCTTTGGTAGGTAAAGGTAATTAGCCGTGATAAAAGTGTAAACCCTAACGTAACAAAGGGAAGAGCACAAGAACAGGGTCTTGTCTTCCACTACCGAGAAATATTAAGAAAGAAAAAGTACTCCAAAGGACAAGGTTGTAACAGCTAGACCGAAATTGAAGTTCAAGCTTATCTGGAGAGTCAGTATCTCCATCAGGGAGTATTTCAAGCATCATCCCACTGGTTTGGATGAATCTTCCTGATCCGCCCCTTTAAGTCATGCTCCACTTGAACTGCATCAATCTGCTTGATCTTCTTACCATCAGCTAGGGCCCAGTATGGTTTAGTACCGCGCCCTTTCACGACAGCCGAGGGCCATGATTTGAAATCCCGCTCCTCGATGGACTGGTGAATGTATTCATTAGTAATATCGAGATTACCCTCGTCAGGTGGGTATCCAAGAGGGGTTCTGGGAGAATGGCCCAAGAACTTTTCGAACAATCGTGCGAAGATACTTTTCGTTGGATTAACATCAACCAAGTGTGTCGCCCACGGCTGAATCCCTGTTGACTGATGATCATAAAAATATTCCAAGTCAATACCCAACTGCATGTTCTTGGTAGATTGTGCCACCATCCATGCCAGGGTAATATCAGAAAGACGAGGTTCCTCTGCCCCCCCACCTATATCAGAATGGTGTCCAGAAAACCAAACCTGAAGAAGCTCCTGTTGGCCATGGTTTTTGGGAAGGTGCCAAAGTACAGGTTGGTATGCGTTTCTATCTTCATCTAGTGCTAATGCTTGGAACGCATACTCAACGTCAGGCGACAATACTGTATTTGGTAGTTCAAGCTTCTCCCCAAACAGCCGGCTCGCAAAATTGTTGTGAAATGCCACTGTGTCCCACACCCCGATAATTTTAATAGTATACGGGGGCAATGGTTCACGAAAACCAACCTTTTCCCGCCTTTTTCTGTCCTTATACTTATCCTCCACTTCTGACGCAGGCTTGTGGTGTTGACCGTAGAATTCATTATACAGTGTTGTAAAGTTATCCATCCCTCGTGGTGTAAGCAGGCCGAACCGAGTAACGAGGCCAGCTACAGCTCGTGCTGTATACGCACCACGGGAGTAACCAAAGAAGAAGATTTCATCCCCATCATCGTAATTATCGGCAAGGAAGGCATAAGCTGCGCGTACGTTCGCGCTAAGTCCCAAGCCAAGTGCACCTACTCTAGGTTATTATGTTCCTCATACAGCATTTGCCAGTCCAGGATTTACTTACCACCGCCTAGCTTATCGCCTAGCAGATTACCTGTCCCCACCCCTTTCTGGTAATAGACAATTTGTGAAATCCGCTTCTCCACACCGTTTTCTATAGTCACCGCGTCGCGACTGATCGCTCTGCTGATGCGAGTCACATTTGTGGGGGGTTTGAATGAGTCCCCGGTAGAATCTTGCCAGGTACCTGTCCTAGCATTAGATATAATCGCAGTTCAACAAAAGCACATACTAACCATCACAACAAACAATGAGCCTCTTTCGCTCTGACCAAGGAAGGTCGGACATACTGGGTAACACTGTGCCGTGCTTTCTACGCGGGTTTTATTGTTGCCAAAAAGAACATATTGTGCTTACAATTTCCAAGGTGCGGCGACCGAGTATTTAAACTGGTTTTAGATCACCAAATGCTACAATAGACTGTGGCTGCTACGCCGGTCTGATGTTAATGAATCTAGATCCCTTGAGAGAATTTGGGTGTATCCGACGTTTTCAGTCTGTAGGCCACTAGGTGAATGGGTTTCAGTCACCTGAGTGCAGCAACGTCTGAAATAAACGTAACCAGGAGGGGCGGTTCCATGTAATTTTTGTTGGTGTTAAACCGGCTACTTGAGCTAGGGACAGGACTTTTAGAGATCGAATCTGTTGATGCCACTATTATAGGAGACTACTTCCTGTTTGATCAAACAGTTCCACGGGTTGGAAAGGTCTTCACATCATCTGAACTACTAACACAATTGCTTCTTGGGAAATTGGTCGTTGTTACTAGGTGCACTACTAGTAGTGGTTGGCCGAGACTCGGTAAAACCTTAACTGAATTTGTGGTATGAGGAAGCCGCCAACGGTAACTAATTGGTTCAGAATTTCTTCTTGGATTTAGCAAAAGCAGCTCATGGCTTCTCAGGTGACATTAGAGCCCAGACACGCAGGCCCTATTTATACTCTACTTGACCAAATCAATCCTGAGTCTTCCATTATCTACTAGTAGTTACTGGTTCTGATACTATGGTTTTGTCAACCATGTCGCTAAACGTATTAATTACTACCGACCCTCGAAATAGTTTCTGCCGTTAACGAATGGCAATCTTTTTGAACACACCTAGGTAGCCCAGAATAAATGCTAAATTGGAAAGGTTATCGATCCGGCCACAATACCTATCAATTATTGCATAACCATAAGTGAGTTTTTGAGAGCATTATAGATTGTTGGCTTATTCTGTAACAATCGAGAGAGGTGCATTGCTTAGTCGTAGATTGCTTCTCAACAGCGGAGCTCAACACTATTCTATACTGCATTAAACTGGGATTATTCTAAGTAGAAATTTTTGATTCCTTCCATCAGCCATGTAATTGGTTTAAATAGGTAACCAAGATCTCTGTTGCTGTTTTGTTTCGACAGCTGTAATCACGATGTGGCCCTGCAAGCATCCGTACAATGCCAACAACTGTGAGGGGTCAGTTGACAAAAGTATATGATTAAGAATCCGATAGATTCTGGTACAAAGACAGTTCTATTTCTTTGCCTTTAGTGCGAATTGGATGTGCTGTTTCTAATTCTGTAATGAGAGCGCGCACACAGCCCTGCTGAAGACAGCACTATATAGCAGTATAACATCACGGATAAACCCTCTCTCTCTTTCTCTTCATTGCATAATAGTACATGGTTTCATCTAGGATACTCAATCCCCTAGTGAATTATTGGGCTGGAGCCCAGTACTTGTATGATACTCACGTACTGATTCATCGGGCAGATGATCACAAAAACCAGTATTTCTGCTTATTCGTCTCTGAAAGCTCTCCCTTGAGTTATGCTGGCTCGGAAGCTATGGAAAGAGCAAGTGGGGAATCGTGCATCAAAACCCTTTGTTGTATCCAACTCTATCATAACCGGTACCATAAGACCTGATCCATGCTTGTTTATTAGACTTTGATGTGACCTCCACAATTTAGTTACTGTAGGTTAGAATACACCAGTACAGGGCACCACTCCTATAATGCATGCTTCCAAACGCTTCTGGACTTGTTGAGCTCGTTCTGTATTGAGCGCGGGAGGAGTCACTGAAGGCCCCAGGTAAATGCCAGTAAAGGTTCATTTACAACTCACCATAGCTTAGAAGTCATGATCAGTACAAGTAGGCAAGTACTATTTTGCAATCCTGTCCGCTTCACTAGGCTCACAAGTCACCCGCGAAAGGCAAGAACCATATGTTTACTACAAGAGTTACGTCACTATAGAATGTCACTGTAACGTCAAGTCAATAAAGTGGATAATAGGATCAGATATAGAGTTACAACAGTTGACTATCTGGCTGCATAAGGCTTGTCTTGGGATAAAAGCTGCTTGCAGCATCCTCATTGTCTAGACCTACAACTTGTCATGGTCTAGATCATGTATTTGGACTAAAAGCCAATGAAGGAAAGACTAAGATGATGTGAGGGTTGCCTCAATCAGTGGGCCTCGACGTTATGGCTGATTATAGCTACGTAATGTTGCTTTGTCTGCTAGTACCTAATATGTCATCTTAGACTATAAATAAGAGCACAATGTCCTCTCCAGGTTTATCAACTCTCTCAGCAGAAATCATCTAGCACATTGACAACCAGTCAAGCTAACATCCGTAACACACAATGGCAGAACGAACTGGTGAAGTCCGCGCCGGTATGTATGAGGAATCTCCTGACTGATCCTTGCTAACTCAGCCAGGCTTTGTTGTCTCCGTGGAACAGGAGGCAAAGAAGGATGGTCATCCTACTGTCTTTAACGCCAAGCAAATCCCAACTGTCAATTCACTGCCTATAGCTCCTCCTGCTGAGGCCCAAGCTGCCCCTGAGATTGATTTCTCCTTTGGGCCGGCCAAGGAATGTTTGATGCTCCCCTATTTAAATTCATATTCTGACTGGCTTTTCAGATTATTGGCTATATTGATACCAGTACTTTGGAGGTAGGTATCCGGCTTGAGGTATTTGGTGCACATATCCTCAACCTTTTCGGCAACTTGAACGACGGTGTTGTCGGAAGGATCGATCTCTTCCTCGCGAAAGGAGAGATCCGACTCTATTTGAAAAATGGAAAGGGTACAGTCAATCCTAGGTATTCTTCCTGTCTTTTGATTCAGTTTACTGATACACAGCGCAGAGGTATGGTTTCACTATGATGTTAGTGTGCAATTTGATGGTCATTTTCAAGATGACATCAAACTCCTGACCATCTAAGTCGGAAAAGAAAAGCAAGGTGAAAAGAAGAATGTATTGAAGTCTCGATTTGCTTTTGGAAATTTGATAACTCTCTCTTGTTACTTTGTGGTACACAGCGATAGGCCCAGTCTTATCATTGAGAAAGTAGACGAACCTTGCCTGCTGTAATGTAAAATTATCAATGGCTAGCTTTGACAACTTGACACTTTTCCTTCGGAGTTTTTCCAACCCAATTAAGAAGGTTATGTTCAGATAAAGGCACCGATATTTGCATACATTTTCTGGTTGATGTCGGATCTAGACTGCGGCAGAGCCCAAACCCTGTCAGTACAATAGCTTAGAATATAATTGTTATATTCTTCAAACCATTCGTCAAACCAGGCAGCTCTCAGCGAGAATGTTGACCCTGCAGAGAGTGGAAAAAAAGGATTGATCCGCGGAAGAATACACTCCACAAAGAAAATCAGAACATCGTATGATATAAATGGACTGAAAACGAAGAGGAGTCATTGGGACACTGGATTATATCATTCTATCGACATGTCAGATGGACCAGTCCCCGGCCTGTGTATATAGAAGAAATGGCCAATATTCTCCTTGCTAAACGTAACGATACTACTTCTACGACTGTTAGTACAAAAGAGATATATAATTTAATTTATTGGAGAGATCAGCTGAAAACTCGCACCCGCCCCAAATCCGAAAACCCCGCTATTAAGACAAATCAAGTGACTTGTCACTTAGTTATTCAATATTGTTTCTGTTTAAATTTAGATTAGCATGTTAAACTAATTTTTAAAGCTCTACATGATATATCTCTCCCAATTCTATAGATGCAGAACTAATATTTTAGATATATATATAATTGTAACGGTGGCATTCGGGATCGTTGATCCCGAAGTATACGATCTTTGGTCTTGTGGAATACAGAGCCCTGGCTGTATCTCTTACAATAATCTAGATCTATATAAAATATTGACATATGGAAAAATTCTGAAAAACCTAGATTTTTAGGTTATATGACTTTGTAGGTTTTTTATGGGGTTTCTGGGTTCGGCGCGGGTTTTGCGGGGAACCCAATCAACTCGGTCCACGCGGGTCGGTTGACCTTGAAGTAATTTTGGTTGACATATCATATGTGATTAAACCTGTGCAGAACCCGTCAATTGACCCATTCCGGCCCAGGCCGAATAGATCGATTGTCTGCCTGGCAGAGCTGTTCCATGGTTCGATATTCGTGACGTGGTCCATCCGGAGTCGCGTCCCGTATCACCGTTTCCGGTGGCATGCCTGCTCTCAACTGTCATGTCACAGCCAACCCAAATATATTGGAATCAGTCGATAGCACCGGCAGCTAGGTGTAATTGATCAAATTCTGGGCCTTTAGGGGCCATGGTTGGTGAGAAACTGTAAGAAGAAGGTTCACTGCGAACGAGATGTTTTTTGCGTCTGTTCTTATGCTCACTTAAATGTCAAAGTGTCCACAAGAACCACAACTGATGTTTGTAGTTCGGAAATATGTAATTAAGTTTCACCAATGATATTGTATAGCTGGTGCAGTTATACCCGCCGTTTTGGGTTAGAAACTCTGAAAAATCAAGGTTTGACCATGGTGAAGTGGAAGACAGATCATCGGAAATGGTAGGAGGACGTGGCCTGACTTTCAAATAGGCTTAGGATGCTACTCTTTGGTCAAAGAGCATGAACAGTGCTTGTGCACGCGGCGGAATTGCAATGCCGCGAGTCCAATCGGGGGTTCAACATATGTACCACTGAGGCATCCGACTGGGAGGCTTTTCTCCAATATGTTCTATCCAGGTCTCGATCCTACATCTGTAATCATAACTTTCGATTTCGCAAGCAATACAATACCCGGAGATCTGGTGTAAAGCAAGCAAGTAACAAATCATAAACCTGTTCACGATATGATCTAAGGCGATTCCTTGGTCGGAATGGCATTAGAAAGTGTTGCAATTACCTTGTCTGGAATGAGAACCAATAACAATACTCACGGTTACCATTTTTCTCTTGAAAACATGAGTAGATCATACACGCCCTCCCCTCTGGTGTATTTACAACCGGGTTTATATAACAATATCGTCGAGCCCTTATTAGCCTTACATGTCCTTGAATAGGTCTCATGACACGATCAGTGTTATATGAAGACTCTGGTTGGCTACATCTATTTAAAGCGCTGTTGAGACATGTATTTAGGGTTCTTGGGCGCTTAGGATGATACTAGGTCGAAGACTTTCGATGATGCAAAGCATTTAGTATGGCGCCACCGTAAGTTATAAATATAGCGGTTAACACTGGATAAGTCTGCTTGCTATATTGCAACTTGATCTCTAAACAAAACTAATTTGTTACTGAGAAATCACACTTTCAACATATTCTATATTTTGATTGGAACCCCTTCAAAAGAGGCCATGGCATCCCAAGACTGGAAGGCTCCGGCCGTTGCGGATGCCGATAAGCCAGAGGAAAAGAAAAAAATCCGAGCATATTTACAGACACTCGGATATCTGGATATCTCTAAAAGCCCCGATGGCAAATTCTCAGAGGTGGAGGTTTATGCTGCCTACCGTAGATTTCAACATTTCTACGGACTGAAAGAGCATGAAACTGGGTCTTACAATGAGGAAACCCGGCAGGCTATGACAAGAAAGCGCTGTGGTATCCCTGAGAACAGTGTAGTTGCAAGTTTCAGCTCCGGTCCTCCAAGGTGGAACAAACGGGACATTTATTGGAAACTGAAGAATGAGTCCCAGCATCTGGCATATAAGGATGCCGAAACTCAAATCAAAGAGGTCGTTGCTGAATGGCAGGAACACTTCAAATATCCCCGGATCAACATGGCGGAAAATGAGGAAGAAGAAGATATCAGTATTGAGTTTACTAAAACTGATCATGGCGATGGATACCCATTTGACGGCCCGGGGAACGTGCTCGCTCATGCGTTCTTCCCAATTCCTAGCAGTGGCGTGCTGGCTGGTGATATGCATTTTGATGAAGCAGAGAAGTGGACCTCTGAATTCCTGCGACAGGTGGCTTTGCATGAACTCGGTCACTCACTTGGACTTGACCATTCTAGTGACCCTAATTCGGTCATGTGGCCTTGGTTCAACGGCAAGTCCAAGCTCGAACCTGACGATATTGCGCGGATCCAAGCTCTTTATCCTGAACATACTCTGTGAGCCAGATCAGAAATATTCGACAGAATGCCTGAAGCTACAGCGTTACGAATATAGCGCGAATCTGATGCAGACTGCTGTGGGTGCTGTGTGTTGCTATTCTTGATGTCTTTTTTTTACCGCGCCAGATGTACTTTTTTGAAAGGGCTTGAGTTGTTCTCTCTGATTCCTAAAGAAACATTACCACAAACACTCCTCATTACTTAGCCTCAAGCGTTTATCCGATAAAGATTGGCATTTTACTGTCCCAATATTCGGATGGTATCGTTGGCTCGTCTACATAGTGGCTTAGGGGGGTGCGCCATGAGGGTTTTTATAAAGGCTAATTCAGGGTGCTCTTAGTAGAAAGGCGGTGGAGGGAGGCGGAAAACTAGTTATAAGGTCTACGAAGATTTTTCCTAAATTTGATTGGTTATATCAGGTTTTTCCTGGTTTTGTCTGGTTGTAGGAAGTTATGGGAGATTGTACAAGGATATACAAGGATATATATTAATATAAAAATTATTATATAATTATACAAAACTCTTTAAAATCTAGTACTGTAATATACTGTAAATTAAAGTTATAACAACTAATACTTTCCGTGGTTTTTCGACTGATTACTAC